AAATGCCAAATATACTCTGTGGTTCCAGCATCTCCAATCTGAGGATTTAATGCTGTTCTGTGTTGTACATCAGTTAAAATTCAATGTCTTTGGGTTTTGGACTGTTAGTTGAGCTAAACAATACATGTGAAGATGTCACCTTGTGATTTTTCACTATGTTTTGACATTAAATAGTCTAATAAAGGTCAGGAGGTTATCTATTGTAGCGCGATAATCAGTTTCAGTTCATTTCATTATATGTATTACATCTATATTGCATAGTAATAACAAAATGATCACGGTTGCAATCAGTATCTCTGAAGGTTGAGATTTCATTTTTTATTTGTTTGTCAAGCAACAAAACAACCCCTCATAAATAGAGAAAGATGTCATAAGCTGTTCAACTGCAGCACTGCCTGTGCTTCTCTGAGAGTAATCTATTGTGACTATCACACCAGCTTTCTGCCCTCTGCTGCTCAAATAACCAGTAGTGGAAGAAGTATTTGAGTGAACGTAGCAAGAGCATAGCATAAATTAGTCCAATACAAGTAAAAGTCGTGTATTCAAAATTTTACCTTCATAAATGTAGATTAGTAGTAACAGAAACATGTAGTTGAAGTATCAAAAGCACTAATCATGTTATTATGCTCACAAGCAGCCCATGTGAGTTTTATATGTTGTATATATCAGGCTATTTTAATGCGTTATTGTTAATGTTGCATTAATGTGGAGGTAGCATTTTCCTGTTGTAGCTGGTGAAGGAGGAGTTAATTTTAACTACTTTGTTTGATTAGTATTTTAATGAAATACAAATACTCAAGTAAAGTACCTCAAACTTGCATAGAACTTGAGTAAGTGTACTTAGTTACAGTTCACCACTGCAAATAACTAGGTGGTTACAGGGACTATTTTGCCCTGAGTGGAGTTTTCAGGAAACATATTCACGTCCCTTCTCCTTACCTTACATATTGCATAACATAACAGTTAACCTCGTTTGTTTGAGTAATGCACAGTAAAAACACTGCCTGAGGTGCTAATTTCAGAGCAGAAAAGTCCCTCTACAATTAGTCTAAAATACTGCCTCAGCCTTGTAGCGTGTACAACAGCAGCAAATAAAACTGTTTTTATCCCACCAAATAATATAAAATGCAACATTTCGGATAGGTTCTCTGGTAGTTACAATACTGTTTCGGACTGGTGTTAAATTTACACCTCATTTCAGTGTTGCTAAAATAAGTATCATTTTGACAGCAACCGGAAGTCTTAACATCCTACGTCTCGCCCTCTCATTGGCTGTCACTCAAGGCCTGCTCAGTGAGCCCTGCTAGCCACCTGCTAACTAGCCGAGCACATCCAAAACACAACTGCCGCTGAGTTTACTCCAACACACACAGGTGAACAGAGCCGAGAAACACTTACATGAAACTTGTTATACACCAACTCCGGGACCAGCATGAGGTGCCTGAAATCAACCAATCCTAGTTTCCCAATAAAGGGAACAGCTATCGAGGCAGCAAACCAGGACCGGGTGATTAAAGGGATGCTTCTGAACCAGTCCCCGATATCTGACATCTTTCCATAAGATTACTGCCCAGCTATAACCCTGAAACAAGAGCTCCTTGCCGAATATAAACCACTATCCCCCAAAAAACTGCGACCCCCAACAACGTTGCTATCACAATTCCTCCACTGCTAAGTTTACATGACGTGGCTAATCACTGGGAGCTAGCTTTACATATGATAAAGTTACTGAGGGCAGAGCAGATGTATCCGGTTCAACTTTTCAAAATAAAACTAAAAAGTAACACGACCACTACTACTAGGCTACTGCTACTACCACGAAAGCTACTAACAATTATCACAATGATAATAATAAAATTGTAATAACAACTATACTATCACAACTCAAAACTTAAAACAGCTTGTTGCTGAGAAAATTAATATTTTTATAAGTTGAGACACCCAGTGTGGATTGATTTTAGAGAAATGTCACAAACATTTCTCTTCAGATAATCAGAACTTGCTCACAGAAAAAGACACTTTCCATTAAACAGTACATTTTAGAGATTTCATCTAGAGTAAATTGATATTTATGCCTACCTTTTGTTTGGGCTCTTTACTTCATTGTTAGGAGATATTATTGAATAATAGTAATCACTGTTTTGTTCATAGTATGCTATTAAGGACATCAACATTGGGCACTAACTTGGCAGTAAATGCAGGCAACACCAATGGCCTGTCTTCTTATTTATCTTGCCAATTGTGGGCTTGCACATTCATTAATTTATTATATCACGCTCTTAGTTTGAAAGAAAAACTCCAGAACCGGATGTGCTCTTATTATCTAACACCAACATTTATTGTTGTTGCTTTGTATTGTTATAGTACTTCCTGTGAAATTTGCAACAACTCTTGACCATCCAGATGCAGCCAGCAAAAGAAAGAGGCGTGACGCACGCAAACCTTCAGCTTGTCCTACAGCAGCCACATGTGGAGAGCGTAGGTCGAGCCAATGAGGAGGATGCGCAAGGTGGGATAGGGTTAGAATAACAGCTACATTTGTTAGACATAAAGTAATTCATGTAGATAATAAGCTAATAATAACTTATAATAAACTTAATAATATTACCAAATGATACATATTACTTATGATTATCCCTTTTTATGAAACCTCACTTCATTCCATAACACATGTTCAGATAGTTTTTAGATTGCAGGGTTTTGGGGACGTATTTTGAATAAAGAAATGTGAAATAATTTTTCAAACATCTCAGTAGTTACAGCTTGAGACATAGTGATGTAAAATAAGACAATTAGAAATTCAAGTGTCATTTGGCACTGATTCTCTTTAAGACCTATTTCAGTATGATTAGGTTTTTGTCTTTGTTTACTCATTTTATATTTTCGTTACACCACTACAAGTTGTTTTATTGTCTAGGGGAACACGTGCAATTTTTACTTTGTTGTAGTTGGTTTTCTGAGTAAATCAAAAAGGCTACATTAATATTTTAGTTTATGTTTATGTAGTTCAGACTATTGCCGGTGAAAGCATTGTGCTTTGGTTGGTATGTTGGCATGACAGGGTTGTGACTGACTGGGGGAAGGTCAAAACATAAATAGCTGGTGAAGCCCCTGCCATCACTGTCATCCAGGCTGAACTAGCACAGCCGCCTACTCCCAGCCAAAAACCAAACTCTTTCCCTCTACCTCCTCCTCAGCTTGGCTCAGAGTAGCAGGTAGACGGAGGCTTCCTGAGCATAGTTCAAGAAAACTCTCTGCTGCTGTTTCCTGTCTGAAGATACAGAGTAAAAACTATTCCTCAGTTTAATTATTCATTTGTTCATATTGTTCAAGGTATTTTATAGTTTTACATTATATCATTGCTTACAACTCAATGGGCTCAGTGAATGATCATTATTCTGAAATCATTCACTTCATGTTGGATTGGAAATTATTGGAATGCTAAGATCCTTTGAAACATCATAAGTCACTGATTGATTAGTTAATGTGTTATAAATCCCGCTCATTTCTTGACACCTGACAGCTCCAACATGCTGCTCTGTGACTGAACCAGAGGCAATATGAGAAGGAAGCATTAGACAACTTCAAAATTATTTATTGTTGTAGAGAAGAGAATATCCAATGTTTTGACAAATAATATTTTTAAGTCAAGATCCAATTACTATCTTTTTTCTGGAGCTATCAACCACATCTTAAAGACTACTAAAGGCAGTGGCAGAAGAAAGTAATTAAACTAATCATATAGATTTATAGTGGAGTAAAAAAAAAAAGTACAATATTTCCTCCAAAACATAATGGAGTAGAGGTATGAAGTTGTATAAAAAAGGAAATACTGTGGTAATGTGCATGTACTGTCCCTGAGAAAGTAGTCACACATATCTACAAAATGTCAAGTAGAACACAATAGAGTTAAAGACTTATTTCCAGTGTGGTCCTATGGGTACTCTTGGTCCCTTGGCCACTTTTTTGAAAAGACAGTATAGTTTAAGACAAAAGATAAAGAATATTCAGAAACACAAGTCAAGTGTTGTATTATTGTTTGTTGCAGTCACCATTTGTTGCACTCTCTGCAGGGAGTTTGCAGCTTGAAGTTAATACAGACTGAGGGCACATGCTACACCGTGCAGCAGTACTTGCATGATGCTGTCACACTGTGTGGTTTCTTCTGTGGATTTACTTTGACCTGAACACACTACACTAGACTTCCCTCTCAGGGACATAGAACTTCAGTGAGGTCTACAAACAGACCATTAGAAACAAAGTGTGTACAGTTGAGTTGCAGCAGTTGACCCATAAACTGTACATTTGTTTGAAAATGAGGCATTTTATTGAGACTCCACTATAGTCACGATTCATAAAATTAACATGGTGAAAAGTAAATATACTGTTGAATATTTATCTGGGTAATTGCAAAGAAGTGGCGCATACTATATATTTATCTCAAAAGTACATTTAAAAAATGCTAAATCATGCAGATATTTTATGTAAATGATTAAAAGACAAGTCTAAAAAAATCCTGCTCATACTATGCATTGGGGGGATTTAATCAGCTGAATCACTTTTTTTTTTCTTTTTTTTCTTTTTTTTTTTACAAGTATTTAAATTCAACAACGTTTGGACCAAAAAATGAAAAGGAAAAAAGGTTTAAAAATTTAATTTCAAAATGTAATTTCTGGCATTCAAGCTTTGTCACAGCATGAAGACCTTCATGGTGGGACCTACAATCTATGGGTGGGACATAACCATTGAGCTTGAGTGAGCTTTTGTACTACGTTTCCCATAATGCACACTTCTGTTTACCTATTACGTAGACTTCAGGCGACAAAATAACCGTCCTCAAAACAAAAAAAACCTTCTGAAACTGCAGGTTGAAGAAAACTGTTAGCATATTGTCTGTTACTTTTTATGGGGATATCTGAACTCTAAATAACACTAAATGTTTCTGAGCTTATATTTATATTCTTTACGGTTTCTTTGGTCGTTATTTAAAGCTTTATATAGTGAAAGTTGCTCGTTCAAATTTCGCGCTGGTTACCCCGCCTGTACAGGGATTAGCCGGCTAGCCCGTTAGCCAGCCATGTCACTGTAAGATGGGACAGTAACACGAAGTTAAGTAAGGTGGGAAGTCTCCTGTTTGCTAAATGTTTGCACTGAGTTTCCATAGACCTTTTTAAAAATGGAGGTGACAGACATCGGAAACAAAGAAGAAGGGAAAGTCTGGCATCGAAAACCAACCCCAGGCAAAGGGTAGGTTTGTAAGAGCTAATGGATACTTGATTAGTCTCCTGTGTGCACCTGGTGCTGACAGCTCTAACTGGATTATGTTGTAAAATGTCTCTGTGGCACAAACTGAACCTAAAATCAGGTGCTTACTGTGTGGTGTGTTTGTTCAGTCACACTTGTTGCACTTGTACATTCATACAAGCAGCAACACTTGAATGCCAAACACTCAATATGGATAGCTTATAATGTTAATGTGTATTATATACTCCCAACAAATGCCACTTTAGATTTTTTGTTGTTGGCTAATTGAAAATCCCACCTGGCGTATAGGCATAACTAGCTATATTTGAAGTTGGAGGATAAAGATGGAAAATATCAAATCTCTGTTTGGTTAGAATTAATTCCTCATTTTATCACCCACTTTTGAGAGCCACCTGTCTGTGAAGAACTGGGCCGCGTTTCCCAAAAACGTCTAAAGGATAAGTTTATCTCTGGCTTAATGTATGTATACAGATCTGTTCTTGAGGTGGGAAACAGGGTCCTGGCCAATTTTAATAAAATGAAATATTAGATATATTCTAGCCAGCACCTGGATATTACTACTTTGACAATATTTGCTATTGGAGTCAGTGCTTTCATAAAGTGTTAAGTCCAGTCTAGGTTGTGGAGGTGGCTAGAATCTTTATTAAAACTTTAGCAGTCATTTCATGTTCAGAAATTTATATCACTGTTCAGTTTCAAGACCAGCAAAATAAAAGTAAATCAAATCTCAGTTGATATGTAGTCTAATTATGATTTGTTATATCTCATAGCTGCATGAGTAGGTAATCACAGTTCTAGTGCTGAAACAGTTGTTCATACAATTAATCGGTAGATCAAGAAACTAAATTAAATTGCAATTTACTTTTACTTTTGATAATCTTTAATTAAAAAATGCTGCTGAGTTGCGCCTCTTCAGTTCAGCGGCCTCAAAGTGAGTTTGACCATTAGGGAAGCTGCAGGTAAACAGCATTTCTTCCACTTTTTTTCATGGTGAATTGTAACTACTAGAGAGCAGCCATGACTTACTGAAAAGCGTTGAGTTTAATGTCAGTACTTTCTGAATGTACATTTCCTCTGTTTGTCTTCCTCAGTGTGTTAGTGACGGTGGTCCGCACTACTCAGCAGGCCAAGACGGTGCGTTTCCTCCATGTGGCATTTGACACCACAGGAGATTCCTTCCTGGCTGGAGATCACCATGGCAACATCTATGTCTTTGACATCAGTAGAAACAGGTGATTGACTCTGCTAAGAGGTCCCTACATAATTAAGTGTTTGTTTATCACTTGGAATATATTTTACAAACATGATTTGCTGTGCGAAGGTTGGCAACATCAGAATTATAACATACTTGCTTACTTCCCCCATGATTTTATCAATGCTAGTCATAACCATTTAAATTTAAAAAAGTCTTCTCTCTGTTTAGAGTAAGAAAAGATGCAAAAACACCTGCATCCATGTTTTCTTTTCATCCATATAGACCTGACAGTGATTAAAACATAAATGTTATAAAAAGTCTTCCTTTCATTTTAGAGCAGAAAGAACCTCAAAGTGGCCACCTATACCTACCCTAAACCTCAGCATGCTATCACATTTATCTAATGTTATGTTTTTATTGCTCCGTCCTTGGGGCAGATTTCGTCTGGTGCAGAAGACTGGGCAGGCCTGCACTGCTCTGGCTTTCAGCCTCCGCAGGACCACAGAGTTCCTTGTGGCCCTGGCTGACTACACCATCAAGTGCTTTGACAAGGGTAGGGTGAACACATGCACATAAAGCATTGGTTTGTTCTTTTACTTGTGATTATTGGATATTCTCTGTTTTTAGGTTTTTAAGACACAGGTTTTACACAAGTTCATTTTGAATGAAAGTTGTTATTTTTCTTTTGCTCTCTGCTGCTCCCTTATTTTGTCCTAATTATATTCTTAATCTTATTGTAACTACAGACAGTCAGCAGTCAGCATTATCCTTCTTTCAAAGCATCTGGTCAGTTTAGTGCAGAGCCAAGAGGGCGTGTTGCATTCACTTCTCTGCATCACTCACTGCCACAATTAACTATAAATAAACGTGTTCACTTCCGTTTGCCTTCTGTTTCTTTGCACAGACACAAAGCAGCTGGTCAGTTGGATGCGAGGTCACGAGGGAGCAGTTTCATCCATTTCTGTCCACAGCTCAGGCCGCTACGCCATCACCACGTCCTCAGACACGGCTCAGCTCTGGGATCTGGACAGCTTCCAGAGGAAGAGGAAGCTGAACATCAGGCAGTCTGTTGGCATACAGAGGGTAAAGACGCAGACATACCAACTGAAAACAAGATTTATAAATAGTAGTTTGATCACTACGTGAAGGTAATCATTCATAAGAGAAAGACTGATGAATGTGTGTAGTTTTGTCAAACAAGGATTTAAGATATCGGTCTTTTTAAGCTGTCAATTCTATGTCATGTAAATTTATGTTTTTCACTAAATTTGAAATTTGTTAATGGCTCACTGTTATCTGTGTTGCAGGTGTTTTTCCTTCCTCTCAGTAACACCATCCTCAGCTGTTTCAGTGATGACTCCATCTTTGCTTGGGAGAGTGACACACTGTTCTGCAAATACCAGCTCCCTGTTCCTGACTCCGGACCTAAAATCTCCTACAAGGCCTTTGCCGTCACACGGTGGGTCTCTCACATCACAACCATTAGCTAGCTTGGTGATTATGTAGCTCTTCAGTGTATTTCTCCATGACTGCATAACACACACTTCATAAGCACAATAAAAGTAACTAGGGATCAGAGAGATTCATCAAACATTGATATATGTGACTTGTGTTGACAGTGATGGTAAGAGTCTTGCAGCAGGTGGGCGCTCCAACCTGATGCACCTGTGGTGTCTGGACAGCAAACAGCTGCTCAGAGTGATTCAGATGCCCACGCAAGTCCGAACCGTCAGACAGCTGGAGTTTCTGCCCGACAGCTTTGATGGAGGAGCGAGCCAGGTACACAGACAACATAACAGAACAGACCAGTAAACTTTTGTTCCTCATCTTCTCTGTTCTTCTGCCATGGAGTCACATTTGTTTCATGTTTATAAATATTTGATATTATTTTCAGCGTTTGTGTGTCTGTGCATGAGCCTGTAGTCTGTTTCTGTGCCCGTCTCTAACTGTGTTTAACATGTTATCTTTTTTCCACATGATGCATGTGTGATGTGTGTTCATGGCTCTGTAGACACTAGGTGTGTTGAGTCAGGATGGTGTGATGCGTTTCATCAACATCCACACCTGCAAGCTGCTTTTCCACATGGGTTCCCATGATGACGCCATCACAGGAGTGGCAGTCAGCCCTAATGGCAGACATGTTGTGGCCATCATGGATAACGGCAGCATCAATATCTACAGTGTCCAGAGTCTCACACAGGAATTAAACAAGGTGACAGTCAGATGTGATAACAGTTCACTGATCCACAAGGTGACAAGAGTTTTCAGATTTGTTGTTGATAATAAAGTGTTCTTTAAGTGTATTCATTGTGTTTGGGTGTCTCCTTCTCTGGCACAGCCTCCTCCCTCCCAGGTGGCAGTAGTCTCAGGTGGTGATGCTAATCAGGAATTGTCTAACCTAAAGGTCAAGGTCAGATCTGAGGTTGTTCAAAGACCAGTCATGAGCTCGGGTAGAAGACAAGTGAAGATACTTAGACCCCCTGCTGTGTGTGCAGCTGATGATAAAGAGGTAAACAGATAGAGATACACACATTAGTGTTCAAACACATTGGTTTTCTATACCAACTGTGTTATTTATTTTGAGGCTTTGTTTCATTTTCTTTTTTCACCCACAAATACACAGAAAACATTTCTCTGCCTCTGACTAGATGTAGTGATTATGTGGTTCTTTGAACAGAATGAACTACCAGCTGGTCTGAATAAGAAGAGGCTGGTGGCTCTGCTGAAGGCCTTTGGAGAATATCCTGCCAAATACAGGTAAGTGTATGATTCATGTGTGTATCTGATGACTAAAACATGCATGTCAACTAATTTTTAAGATTTATTTGTATCCATTATGTATTTTGTTTTTAAGATTTACGTGTGTGTGTGTGTGTGTGTGTGTGTCAGGATGTTTGTGTGGCGGTCTTTGCTGTGTCTCCCAGAGAACCATGCAGCATACAGCAGTCTGACTGATAAAGGCCTGCACTCAGCCTACCTCACTCTGCATGATAAATACCCCATCAAAAGTCACAAGTTACAGAGAGGGCTTCAGAGGTGCTCTCTCTCTCTCTCTCACACACCCACACAAATGCAATTCATTATAAGTACACAGTTAAACCTTTGATTTAAACCTTTATTATTTGTTATTTGGACTATTTTTTTTCCTCCACTTGACAGGGTTTTGTCTGCATTAGCTCACTGGGCAGCCATCTTTGGAGAGCTGGACTACCTTCCCCTGGTGGCCTTCCCCTTTGTCAAGCTCTTCCAGAACAACCCGATGCTCTGCTTTGAGGTGGTGGCAACTGTCATAGGTACTTGTTGATTTCAATTATGGCATGTAAATTTCTCAGTATACCTAGCTTTACGTAAACATATTACAGGATTGTTACATGAAAGCTTTTGAAATTCTTGAACTACAGTTTTCATTGTTGTGTGGCATTGTTTTATGTGGCAATGTCACTTATTGTCAGTTTAATAAACGTATTAGCAAGAGTTTTATCGACTCAGATGCTGTTTTGCAGTGAACTGGTGCCAGCACTGGTTTGAGTACTTCCCCAACCCTCCTCTGAACATCCTGAGCGCGGCAGAGAATGTTCTGGCTCATCACGACAAGGAGCTGCTGCAACACCTGATGGACTGTGGCATCACTTCACAGGTATGGAATAGGAGGATGGACAAGAGGTCGGACAGACATCCATGTGACCACATCTTCCTGCCCTGATTAAGTTTACATGCATTATTTTGCTTCTCTGTGTCTGTCCCAGCTCTATGTGTGGCCCCTGCTGGAGACCCTGTTCTCAGAGGTGTTGACTCGTGATGAGTGGCTTCGGCTCTTTGACAATATTTTCTCCAACCATCCTTCATTCCTGATCATGGCCTGTGTGGCCTATATCACCTGCTGCCGCGAGCCTCTGCTGCTCTGCTCCCAGAAACAGGATTTTGAGGTAAGTACTCTACCCTCTCTCTTCTATGCCTCTCCTTTTAAAATAAATAAAAAAATGTCCATCTCTCCTCATCCATTCAATTTTCTCTCATCTCTCCATTTCCCTCTTTTCAGTATTTTTTTCACCATCGTAACAACCTGGACGTGGCAGCCATGATAAAGGAGGCCTACCGGCTGCTGAGCAGCACGCCTGCAGACATCCATCCCAGGACTATTCTGTCTGACTTTACCCCACTGACCACGGGCCAGTACCCTGTGTTCAACCACTACCCAGAATTCATAGTGGAATATCAGAGCCGGGAGAGGGAGAAGATACGATTGCAGGAGATGGAGTATCTCCATGAGAGGTGAGATTAAAAAAAAATCATAATAAGAGAGGCAGAAACTTTTATTTATTTATCTCAAATTCATATTGGATAGTAAAAGTCTAAGTGTTGTGCAAAGATGCATCTCATGTAAGCGTATATGTGTTATCTAAACAGGCAGGAGGTATCAGCGCATCGTAAAGATTTTGTGCGTCGTCAAGCTGAAGAGGAGGCCTACTACACTCAACAGGTAGATGGGTTTTGCAGCTTTTCAAAATTCACATAAACTTAAACATAGATTTTATTGTAATGTATATTGTTGGCTTGCTCTTACAGTTTATCTGCATATGAAACACAAGCATGAAAATGAAGTGAACTGAATCATTGTACTTTGATTGATTTGAACACAGGAGCTGCTGCAGAAGGCGGAGGAACAGCGCAGAAACATCCTGGCACAAGAAGAAGAAAAACTAACACAGCAGAGAGCAAAGTACAAGCACAAGACGCAGACAGTTTTATAGTTAAGTTATGAGAGAAAACAAATGAGATGTATCGAAATTGGTTCTTGACACTGCTCCATCCTCTAGGTTGGCAGCCATGAAGAGAGAACTGAAGGTGAAGGAGTTACAGCTACTGGACGCAACTAGAAGACGCTTCCTCAAACACCAACAAGACCTGAGAGCCTCACAGATACAAAGACTAGACCAGGAGATCAGTAGAAAGGTAAACACAGAGTTCTCTGGCCAAACACAACATGTAGTTTATAGATTCTTTTAATGCCTATTTGTTTGAATCTAGTTATTTATCCTTTCAGATGTTTTATGATTTGAAAATACACATGCTTTTAAAGAATAAGTAATATAAGTAATTAAAACAGCACAGCTTGATGATGATGAATCTACACCAAAAACTATATGTTTTTAGTTAAAATATAAAACATACAACATTTCAGTGTAAAAGATCCCAAACTTGCCAGTGAGCCTGAGCTGTAATAAGTCACATCAGTTTATTCTTTTAGCCTAAGACACAGAAATGCTTTTTTCAAGTTTGGAAGCTTCCACTAAAAGCTGCTTTCTTGGCTGGATTATGTGTTTTGCTGCAGGCGAAAGTTACTCACAGTTTGTCTGTCTCCAATATTTTAGCATCTTTACTGCATGTATCTATGATTCTTCTCAGTGACTGGCTGCTGCATCACTTTAACTTTAGTTTGGTTTATAAAGTAGAAATTTATCGCATTAATCTCAAAGTGAGTCAATTTATTTTCAGGCTGGTTGTGAAGATTTGTGTTACTGTTGATATTTTTAATTTATTCTACTAAAGATGCATCTAATAGCTTTCATGTTCTGCCACAGATGGATCTGCGGGAGCGAGAAACAGCTGCAGCAGTCCAGGACCTGGAGGTCAGACAGATGGAGCTAGAGGCTCAGAGGAGGCGACTTGAACAGGTGACAAACACCTCACATGTAATGTCCCTCCCTTCCCTTTCTGTGGCTTGTATTTGCATTTGTTCCTGAATAATGTCTCTAGTCAACCTAGAAAGCTATTTGCAGTCGTAATACAATAAAGCATCAGAAATGAACACTGCTTTCTTACTGGACTTTGAATAAATGAAAATGTGTGATAGCAGGTTTGAATTCTGTCTCATTTTGTATCAGAACTGAGCTAAGAAAAACAAATCTCCTCCTTGTGTTTTGTTTTGCATAGACATGAGTTTTGACCAATGTTGTAACTATTAAGTTGATGTTTCTTCCATGACCATTTCCCTCAGCACCTGCTGAAGGAGCAGGAGCGGATGGGACGGGACGTTGAGGAAGAGGTGGAGATGAGGATGAGGAAGGCAGAAAGAGAGGAGGAGAGCTACACAGAGCTGCTGCACAGCACAGAGACAAACATGCAGGTTAGTGACACCTTCCAGTATGGAGCCAGTGTAATAATGTTTATTGAAATGTGTCAGTACATGATCTTAATGCACTTGAACATTAATCTGGCTTTACAAGAAACTATCAAAGCCTCTCAGTCATCCAAACTCTGATTTTGGCACAGGTATCCGTGATCTCCTGCCCCTGAATCCGTTTACTTTCTCTGCACACAGATCCTGGAGGAATCCCTGGCGGAGGCGTGCCAGCTGGGCCTGGAGTCAGACTGGCAGAGAGAGGTGGCGGAGCGCCTGCAGCAGGTCGACGCCGAGCAGGAGAGGAAGAGGGAGAGACTGGCAGAGCTTCACAGGCAAACCCTGGCAGAGGAGGAGAGATTGGCTGACACCATGAGAGATGTGGCAGGAAGAAAGGTGAGAACAACAAGAGTATGTTTGTCAACACATGAATTCTCATGATATTTTGGCTTGTCTGTTACATGTAAAATTACTATGACATAATTTATGGGCTTTTCTGTTACTTTCTGTGCTGCAAAAAAAAGCTTTTAAGAATAAAAATTCTGATAAACTGATATTTGTGTTGCTCACTCAGAAAAACATCATATCTGAACATCTTAATGTCTGAAATATTGATTATGAATTATCAGTGTAGACAAATTATGGGATACTGGTATTCAATTAGACAATGAGTTCTTGATTTAATTTGCAGTGGGATGAAGTGATGAGTAGCAGAGCCCAGTTACAGGAGCAGCGACAGGCCTGGTCTTCAGCAGTCACAGGTATTACTCCACAAACACACACACACACACACACACACACACACACACACGTTTTGTTTGTGTCTGGTGAGCTGAGCTGTCTGGATGTGGATGTAATATTAGTGTTTGCTTTGTGTCAGATGGCCAGAAACAAACGAGGATGAGGTCACCGGGTTTGAGCAGAGGACTTCCTCAAAGACTGGGCACCGCCACTGCAGTTCATGTAGGAACCAGCGGTGTTGGTCTAGCAATCAAACAAGACACTGCCACCACTCCAAGGCAGGCAGGAAGCAACATGGTGTGTCTGAACAGCAGTTCACCTTCTGAGAGCACCTCCACCAACTGTAAGTCACTGTACATAGGATCTAGTTTCTGTTGAAAGGACTCTGTTTTGATTTCTTAATAAACAAATGCAAGTCATTGTCATGGCAGTGAGGCAAGATTGTGATCTTAAAGTCATATTTCAGGTTATTTGATGTGGGGTAGTCATGCATAGTAGCACATAAGAGTGTTACCTGCAGTAGATTCAGATGGACAGGCAGCAGGAAACACTTGCACCACTAGCAGAGTGATGTGCTGCTCTGTACGGGGGCCAGCAGAAAAAACGTGTTTTAGACACTTTTACAACGTTTACTTTTTTCAACCGCTGAACTACCGTATTCCTACTCACACAGCTCAGCTGAGTGAATCAGAAAGCGGCATCTGGTAATGGTGTATTGCAGAGACCACACAGTGAATAATAACCAGTCACCACAGACAACAAGGGACCAAGATTGGTTATTTTCTCAATGCCAGCGACAGCCAGAGCCAGAGGCATTGTGTTTTCAGATTGTCTGTCAGTGTGTCCGTATGTCCCATTCTTGTGAACGTGATATCTCAGTAGCGCCTTAAGGGAACTGTCATTCATTTGGACTCAAGAATGAACTGATAAGATTTTAGTGGTCAAAGGTCAAGATAGCTGTGACCTCACAAAAAATGGTTTTGGCCTCTTGAATGTAATATCTCAGTAGTGCCTTGATGGAACATCTTCAAACTTGGCACAAACATTCACTTGGACTCAAAGATGAACTGATTAGATGTTGGTTAAATGTCAAAGATCAAAGTCACTGTTACTTTTTTGGCCATAACTCACAAATCCGTACACTAATTATTACACAATTTAACTCGAATGTGTATAAGGATAAAATGAAGTGATGACATTTTGTATCCAAAAGGTCAAAGGTTAATTTAACATTGTGACATCATAATGTTCTGCAAAAACACTTCTGGCTTTGATTCAACGTTGTAGCTCAGGAAGGGGAGATTGTGACCATATTTCCTACAACTTGGCTGGTTGGCGGAGGCATACAACCGTAAGATGGTGATTCTAGTTTCTATCAGTAATCCTCCTGCTTGTCCTTCTTTCTCTTTATTCTGTAAGTCTCCCTAGACCGAGGCCGGGCCCAGCTGGACAGCAGCGAGAGAGAGCTGCTTAAGGAAATCAGAGAACTGCGACAGAAGCTGGCGGCCAGAGCCAGAGAGGGCAGCTCTGCCTCCTCACAGTCTGTCCACATGCTGTCCTCTGTCTCCCAGTGACCACAAACTGCTCTCCATCTTCACAGTGTCACAAAAACATATTCTCATCTCAAGCGAGCTAGAACGGCAGAAACAATGACTCAAGCTGAGAGCTGAACTGGCGAGCTGCTATTAGTTTGCCCATTCAAACAAGTTGAATATCATCGACCACTATCTCTTGAAAACCAGTCTATTACATTAAAACCAGTACACCTCTGAATTTAATATCACACCACCTACTATTTAATATTCATTTGCATATATTCATGGTCTTCATTGACATTTATATGGATAATGACTCACACAGTTTTTTCATTTACATGTGCTGGTTCTCCGTTTAGGATTTTTATTTTAATGAATGTTTTATGTTTTGTCTTATTTAAAACCTGTTGTGGATAAAATGTTTTTTAAAAACCTTGACTCAACAACGTGTCTCACTGTTACCTTTAAAATAACTCTACTACTCACTACGTCTGTTACCTCCTTAATTGTTAGTAAGCAACAGTAGAGTGATTGCGGCAGTAATTAAAACTCTTTTACCATCAATTTATCACATTCAAATATATTTAAAGAAAATTGTAATTTGCATATGTGTATGCAGGAAATTCTTTTTTTTTTTTTTTGCAATTTCCTACAAACGCTATGCATAGGCTTTATAATTAAGATAACAGGAATCATGTTTTCATTAGACATTTCGGGGAGTTTTCTGCTCCACACTCTCTGTCTGGGTGTGCCTGTTACTTGGCTTCTGCTCCTTTTAGCACTCAGGTGTTGTTTTGACATGAGCTGAAAAGACAGCCATACCCATTCCTGTCACTCATTCTTCTCTCTCCCTCCACCCATCTTTTATCTGTGCTCACCCACTCTAAATCACTCAGTCTCAGGCCCTGGAAGAGAAACTCCAAAATGAGTTGATCATTTTTTTGCTCTATCATTCGTGACCTGGTTAATCAACAAACAGAAACACACACTTGGCACCTGATGGAAATATTGGGATATGTCTTGAAGCCAAATTTCATCATGTGTCCTCTCCGACACATGATGCCACACACTTACCAATGAATGAATATTTTCCTTTTCCATACACAGACATTCTTCCCTGTGTATGCTTCTGGAAGGGAACATCACAATCTGATAGCATGAATTATGCTCTCAGTTCTTACCTGTCACTTCTCATCCCTCGTGAAACCATCTTGCCCTGAGCGGGGGCGTGTCTTCCATTTTCTCTTTAACCTCTCTCTCTAACCTTTCTGTCTCAGCCAGTATTTCTTTCATAGATGTCAGAGAAACACAGTTAACCCTCTCCTTCAGGCTCTGTGGCTCATGCACAGCTGCAACACAAGTCTATTGGCTCGATTCTGAACCCAAGTTCAGCCATGGAAGCCAGCAGTGTGTCCGTGCTGTGGTACAGGAGGTCCAAACCTCTGGGGAAGGTCAGGCGACGGGTTCAAGACCTCCGCATCCCTTCCTCTTATTACTATGACTTTACAGCCGTCAGACCCATGTTGGACCTGAGCCACAACGAGAGCACTCGGCTGGCAGTGGACTGCCTGCTCACCCGGGGCGTAGAGGGGTACCAGGAGGTGTTAAACGTAGAGGGGGAAGTGGACTTTCTGTCAGAGCTGGAAAAGAAGTACATCCTGGAAAATGGAAGAGATGGCAGTACAGGTTGTACATGTTTTTACATTTTTATTGTTCCTGACAGACTGTTGTGTTTGACAACACAAAGACTGATTCATTGAATTCATTGGTTGTTTTTGTGCTTTACACAGCTGATCCTGCTGCATCTGATGATGATGATGATGATGATGATGATGATGATTACAAAGATTTAGTGAGCTCATCAGCTGGCTCCCAGTCCGCCACAAAATGCCCTGCAGTCTCCACAGACAGTGATCCCACAGTGGCAGGTTTTGACCAGAGCAATGTAAAAGGTACTTCAAGAGTAGAAAACATTTCTAGAAGCAGAAAACTGCCAAAAAAAAAGAATGCTATTCTAATGCTGAAGTACAGTCATGCTAGTGTTTTCTTGATGTCTGGGGTGTTAAAACCCTGCTGACTTATGTGAGTCAAACCACTCTATTTTCTTAGCAAATCAGTATTTCATCTTTTTGGTTCTCGTTTGCAGCTGTCTCTGATCATGCTTTTGCCTCTTCCAGATGTGAAGTGGACTGATCCTGTCCTGAGTGAGCCCCGTGTTCAGCTTTATTTCCAGTCAGATAGCAGAGGAGCTGGCATGAAAGATGTGGTCAGGGAGTTCATCAGAAAGGCTAAACTGGTAGGCAAGGAGTAACTTTATTTCTACTGTCTTTCTTTGAAAGTGTAAAGAATATGTGTTATTTGTTCTAGTTTTGTAATCTGTGAAATTGACTGCCGTGTGTGTGTGTGTGTGTGTGTGTGTGTGTGAGAGAGAGAAAGTGTGTGTGTGAAAGTGTGTGAGTGAGTGAGAGAGAGAGTGAGAGGAGTGGTTTGCATGTTTCCATATACGTGGGTGTGCATCCAAAAAGGAACATGATGTGCCTGTACCTGTGAGGGAATATGAAAAATGTCAGTACTGGTTCTTATGTACTGAAAAGTCAGATACACTGAGTGATATCTGTCTGTGCATGCTTTTGGTATGGTGACTGACATCTTTACTAACATGATGTGTGTGTGTGTGTGTGCGTGTCTGTGTGTGTCTGTGTGTGCATGCGTGCGAGCATGCGTGTAGGCCCTGGCCATAGTGATGGACAGCTTCAGTGACGTAGAGCTGCTCTGTGATCTTCTGGAGGCCAGCAGGAAGAGGAATGTGTCTGTTCACCTGCTGTTGGATCATCTCAACCTGAACCTGTTTGTTACCATGTGGCAGGACCTCAAACTCAACAGTAAAAACTTCCCTGTGAGTCTGTTCATCTTCCTCTCTCCACCACCAACCGTCACCTTTCTGCATGGATCCTTATTTATCTAGTTGCTGTTTCAGTCAAATTATGCCAAAACTGCCTATGCCTAAAATGCCTAAACTCCCTAAAGAGAAAAGCTTAAGTCTTCAGGGTGGATGTGATGTGATGTTAGTTAGAACCATCAATCTACACAGCGTCATAAGTGTCATTTAGTCATATTCTTGCTCTCATGACCACACAGCCATAAATCAAACTAGCAGACAACCACAGCTTCCCTGCTGCAGCAGCTCACAGCACAGACTGGTGGCTGCCTGCCCAATCTAAATACTAGACACAGTGTGTATGGAAAGCACCTTGGCCACTGTGCACATCTGTTTTCCCTCTTTCACCTTTGATTTTCAGCATAGTGTTGATGCACTAACCTAAGAGCCTATGCTTGGAAGAGCAGGAGACTTTTTCCTCAGAGTCCAAATGTGTTGCTGGACAATTTGATTTAAAATAAGTGCACAACCTTTTTGAACATTAGCAGTCACTGTTGTCATGTTCACAATAAACATCTGACAATTACATTACAGCACAGTGCTATGCCTTCTATACCATAATGTAATGCTCCATATTTAACATATTTATATACTGTAATAGTTTTTGCACTTCTATCAAGTCTGCAAACATCTATAGAGTTTGTTCAGCGAAAAATAACTAAACTGATTTATGTCCTAATTCGACAAAACCAAACCATCACATTATCATTATCACAGGGATTTGTTTCTGCTTTGTGAAAAACTAACAAATTCTACGTGCAGAATAATTGCTGTCTCTCGTGTGTATAGAAACTGTCAGTGTGCAGCGTCGACGGACAGACCTACTGTGCCAAGACAGGCAGGAAGCTGACAGGTCAGATTGCTGAGAGTTTTATCATCACTGACTGGACTGAGGTGCTGACTGGCTCATACAGGTACACACACACACACACACACACACACACACTCACACACACTCACACGGACTCACACATTGATGCATGAACTCACATTCAAAAAACAAAAAAGCATGTATTTGCATGTCTGAACAATGCCACATCTCTTTTGTTGCTGTCTGAACAATTGTGTGTGCGTGTGTGTGTGCGTGCATGCCTGCGTGCTTGCGTGTGTGGTCTGCTCAGTTTCTCCTGGCTTTCCTGGCAGGTGCATCGGAGTCTTGCTGTTCTTGTAAAGGGCAGCGCCGTCACACCTTTCCACGAGGAATTCCACAGGCTCTACTCCAGCTGCAAACCAGTCCCCGGCTTTGTCACTTTTATCGCTGCACCTCGTACTCCCCCTCTTCACATCACATCGCATGCAGCTCAAAATGAAAACATTGGTATTAGTAAGTCAAAATCAAGTCAGACCAAAACAGTGTGCCACTGGGCTTGGAATGAAGATGCTCAAAAGACTCAAACAAAAGCAAAAATGCCAGTTTTAACCAATCCACAGAGCCCAGAACTGGAGTGCAACAGAGGTGATAACCAGCCTCAACATAGAGCAGGTATAGGTACACAAACAAACACAAAACCTCCACTGCTGTACCCAAAACCGCTGGCTCAGCCAGGAACATCGCAGAGTGTATCTGTGGAAAAGCCAAAACATACACTGATCGGTGCCTCTGCGCAGCATGATGAAAAAACACAGGTGGAACCTCTGGAGAAGAATCAAACCCAGGTCCAGAGTCATTCAAAAACTCTTGGTCAGACCGACGCCTCATACAATCAGTCGCAGGCTGCCGGTCTTACAGCCGCCACCACCACCACAGATGAAAAGAGTGCAAAGGTTCAAGAGTCAAACCCTCTTCACACTGTAAACTCCACACATGGACAACATGAGACTGTCTGTTACCAATCCACCTTGAAGAAGGATTCAAATCTTGATTACGACAGTCTGGGTAGTGAAGGACTTTTTTTTCAGCAAAGGAATAGAAACAGATTGACAAACCCTTCAGGGAATGCTGCAGGTCTCAACACACAAAGAGGACAGTGGAACTACTCACTTCACTTCAAACCGAAGGTGGAGCTTCAATCTGATAATCCCAAACTACTGTCTCCTTCTACATCACAGCAACAAGTAAAGACAGGCTTTCAGTACTCTTGGATCAATTCAAGAGGACAAGTCTACTCTCTAGAAACCAGGAGACAAGATCAGTCCCAGAGGCTCCAGCAACCCCCCCATCAGTCGTACCCAACCACAGAGGCTGCAGCCATGGGAACTCAGCTGAAGCCTCATCTCCAGGCAGATGAGTTGTTCTCCACAGGTACAAGAGCCAGGCTGCACCTACAGCCCCTAACCTCCCAGCAGGCGAAGCCCCCTCCGAGGCTGAACTGGATGCTCCAGAGTCACACCGCAAGACCCAGGCTGGTGGCTCAAACCAGCTCCTTTGACACCGCCAACGGGGCGAGACAGAAAATGGGTGGACAGCCGGGCTGGAGGCCTGTTCATGGTAACATGAACGCATCGCTGGGAAGGAGCAAGAGCTTGACTGACAGACACACAGCAGGATTCAAAGGAGCAGGACTTGACAGGACCTGACAGAAACATATAGACTGTGGAGATATGAAACCCTCACACACAGCAGACAGGTGTGTTCACCTGTTCATGTGACATATACTGTACTTTCATATTGTGTATAGCTTATACTTATTAGACTTGTGCATTTTGTGTGTAGCATTTGGAAAAAAGTTACATGAAGTTTAGTTAACTGTAAAGTGTTGATTTAATTTAGCAAAACAACCAAGGCTTTGGTTTGCTAAATGTTTCTAAACCTCAAGGGCTGTAAAATGTTATCGTATGTTCAAGGTGATTTTGTATTGCCCACTGCACACCGCAAAGGGTGTTTTCAGTTGTTAGGTAATTAGCATTCTGCTCAGGTTGAGTGGAGCTATGCGGGGTGTTGACACAAAACCTGAACGGGACAAATTACACAGCAAAACTCCAGAGTCCTGAGATGGGAGCAGTAATCAGGCAGTGAAGTGAAAACTGTGCAGTGGGTGCGTTGGGACTTTTATTATCCATGTAATGCACATTCTCATTCTCAGTCTCTGACTGCTGTGAAAATGATTGAACTATTTCAAAAAAAAAAAAAAAAAAAAACTACATAAGCATAAACACAGCATGTTCATGTTTTATGAGCATGTTAAGGCAAAAGTTACATTTCGGGCAGAACATTCAAAAGATTCGAGCGTCTCACTTTGTTTCCTGATTCTATAGCAAACAGAGTCACTGTCATTCATGATATTTCACACAGTAGGAATTGGATGAAACATTCAAACAACGACTACATTCACTATGCAGTTCTCTCTGTGTGCTTCAGTTACATGAAAGACTGAACATGAATAATTCTGTTACATTTGAACAGTCTGATTCATACTTTTGAATATTGTTTTGAGATTTTGAGCATTAAAAGAGAACATCTGACCTCCAGATGTATGGGGACTTATTCTGGCATCAGTAAGGCAGACATGATGTGCACTTCTGTCTTCGGAGTAGGATGTGGTTTTCACTTCATTCACTCTGTGTCTGTTACTCTTTGATCTACACAGTGACTGAACCATCTTCAGCATGTTCTTCAGTCCGACATCTTCTCTGTAAACATTCAACATCAGGACTTTGTGTCAGTCTCTAACACTCCAGTCAGTAAGATCTTGTTCCACCAGCGCTCTCTGAAGCTCTGCACGCACACACTGGCCAGACTCTCCCCATCTTGGTAGTCCTCCCTCATCTTCTCCGGGATCAGGTCCTCTGACATCACCTGGGGGATCAAAGAGAAGAGAAGCTGAACTGTGTAAAAGACGAGAACTCAGCCCCTCACCTATAATAACCTTAAACTGCCTGAAATTCAGGTCTGGACACAGCATGTATACCCAAAATGAGGAGTGTGCTCACCTCAGTGAGCGTCTGCAGCGTTGATTCTTCGGGATTTAGCCGCTGTAGCGCCTCATCTGCCGCCCGTAGGCTGCTTTCACTGCGCTGCAGCACAAAGGAGGACTGCTGCTGCCGGAGGATTTTCAACAGGAGTCTGAGGGAGATGAAGGAAACAAGGGGACATTAAGATGCTACGACTTACATTTAAGCTCTTCATACAGCAAATCTTTAATTTGTCGCACGTGCAACTGTGGCATGACAATACCTTGTGACTGAATTGATATTTTATTACATCAGAAAAAGCATCGGGCCGGCTGCTCCTTCCAGTGACTTTCAACTATTACAATATGTTTCTAATGGTTGTTATTTTGTGCGATGTGTGTATGGGACATACAGTATGTAAACATATTGTTTACAGTCACATGTTTTACCTCGTCCTGATGAAGCAAGTGCAAGCTTTGAGTCGGATTCTATGCTCATCGAGCTCTGCTGCCTCCTCCTGTTGCTCCTCAGTCTCTCCATTGTTCTGCTCTTCGGCTGATTCACAACTCTTAGAGAAACAGGATCCTAGTAAAGGGGAATACAACAGAGCACATCAGAACATGAGGACAAATATTATTATGTTTCATCTACGTGTTTACAAGATTAAAGAGAGAGAGAGCGTTCATTCACATCTGCAATAAAAAAAAAAATAAAAAAAAACCTTTAACACATTATATGGTAGTTAAATGAGTTGGTAAATGAAGTCAAGCCTACTTGCGGTTCTGTCGTTCTCCAGCAGCTGCAGACACATCTGGCCCAGGTTGAACCAGTGCCAGGGGTTGAAGGGAAGCATGCTACACAGTTGCTGGAGAGATGACATCTTTGGTCCTATGGCTCCAAAATGCTGGTAGATGCTGACCTATAATAAAAGTTTTCACATCAATTACATGGTACAATTACATGAGTAGAAATTAGTTTGTATCAGTGCAAGTGTTGTGGCTAATAATCCTGACCTTAAGCAGCAGGAGGCTGGTCAGGTGACAGGTGTTGGAGGCTTCTTTGCTCTGTAGAGAGATGATGTAGAAATTACTATTGAAGTTTGACCATGTTCCAAGCCCAAGCATTTAGCCTGACTTCTTACTGCCGTTTTATAGGGCTTTGAAATTAAACTCCTTCAGAAGGGTATAACCATCAAAGAGAACATCTACTCAAATTTAGATTTATCAAAGTTATGTTATTAATTCAAGTATTCAGGGGTGGTGGGTTCATGTGCTGCTGGAAAGCTAACATCCACGATACAAGAGACAACTACCCACACAGGCAGTACTGAGCTACACCGGTGAACAATTTAAAACAGGAAACCGGCAATAAGCAAATGTGGAGTCCTGTATATTTGAGTATTAAAAAAGATTCCTGTTTGACAGCCGACTGTTAATATTGGAGCTTCCTAGGGCATATAAAAGAAAATAAAGGCTGTCTCAAGGAAGCTTTGAGGTTTGGCAAGTTGACTTTCACATTACACCATCAATAAAACCCAAATAACTAACATAAGATCAATGAAAACCAACTGGCTGCCTGGAAGGTAAGAATAAAACATTTGTTATTCATAACTATTCTAGACTTTGAAAAATGGTAGGTGTAGAATTTGTCTTTTAAACGTACAATTAATTGTATATTATATAATACACATACTCTATTTACAATAAAACCTCAGCCTTTCTGACCTACTGTTCACTTCCTGCATCACACAAAATATCTGGAATGGTGAAATCTTGTTTTGGGATTTAATGGTTGTAGATTAGATAAGATAGATCAGGTTCAACCGTTTTGTTTGTCATGCAAGGAAGCTGATTCTACTCCAGCAACCATCTATCAAAAATGAACAACCATTAGCACCATTGTGCTAGCATATACCAGTGATATATATACTAATACTACATCACGACAGTAAGAGCAAACAAAAACATTATTTAAGTAAAGTAGAACTCAATGTATCAGCATGGAAAATATGTGCACAGAAGAATTACCAGTAAGTCAGCCAACTCCAGTGCCCTGTCTCTCTGTCCCAGTTTGGTGCAGCATCGGGACATTCCCTCCAATACATCTCTTCTGATGGTCAAGTTGTTGTCGGCGATCCACTCCAGGCAGCAGCTGTACGCTTCCAAGGCTTTCTGTACCCATCACACCATGTGACGAGAAACACAACAAGGTTTTTCAACACCTTAAAGATGACAATTTAAAGTGGTAAGAACAATAGCAAAAAGAGAGGTTAGCATGTGGCAACAATTATGAGCCAAGTCAGACCCAGTGTTTTATTTGCCTTAAGCCTCAAGCAGCTTATGTTGGTACTATTACTGTTAAAGCGCTGAAAAATAAAATCATTTATTTTCAGATCTGTAGCAAGAACAGGACATTTTGTGTCGGTCTGTGAGCCTCCCTTCTCATTGGCTGACTGTTTTCTGAGCAATGCAGGTAACAGATTGTAGCCTATCACTGTAGCTGTGGTAAAACTCTCTGGTAAATGCAAATGACGATAGTCAGTCAGCACTGGTCGAAGTACTACGTAATACATCTATTCAATTAGTGCAAGGAGATCAAGTAAAGTAGTGCACAGAAAGTGCATAATAAGTGCTAGTTAGGCATGTTAGGGTGCTCTCAGAAAAGATGAGTCTTAAGAGATTCTCGAAGATAAAGAGGGGACGCTCCTGCTCTGAATGACTTTGGTAGCTTGTTCCACCATCAAGGAGCCACAGATGACAAGAAAAGACCCAGAAGTCATTCTGAAGGCAGGAATCACTGACTTGAATTTGATTTGGGCGGCCAGTGGAGGTCAATGAGTGGAGAACTAACATGTGCTATTTTAGGCTGATCAAAGACCAGACAGGCTGCTGTATTCTGGACCATCACAAAATCATTTTAGCACAATGCTGCACAGTAGTCATGATTCTCTCTGACCAATCAGTAGTCTGCAGCGTTTTCACTTCGCCTTTTGGTATTGCCTCAGTGGAGGTGATATCAAAAAACATCCCAGGTACTATCCACAACTTTTGCCCAGTGGAGTAAAGTGGAATTGAGCCAGTACCACATAGTGGAAACAGGCTAATAGTGGCTCAAAACAACAGTTTTGCAATAAACAAGCTGAGTAATGAAAATAAAGATTTTTAAGGAGAATTAACTCTGAGCATCCATTCCTTTTTCTGTCACTGGCCACCAACTTTACAGGTAGTTTAACTCCAATACTGGTGAAGCACAGTGGTCTTTGATGAATATTTGAAGTTAGAGTTGATTGACTGTTTACTTACCTGATAGTTCCCCTGTCTCAAAGCCAAGTCACCTCTAAACTTATAAACTTTCTGCTTCTCCAAAGAATCATCTGTGTCAAGGGCAACACTCTCACAAAACCACTACAGAGAAAAACAAGGTGAGAAAAGATGACAACAATTTTTAAAAAGCACTTAATTGAGTATTTCGAGTCTGCTCCATTTAGTATTAATTGGTCACAAAATGGGATCTGATTGAAATACTGCTGTGACCAAATAAAGATCCGCTGATACAAGCCTGTCTGAAATAATGGTCTTTAACTTTATGTGTTTGGTGATGATTTTGTCAGTGGTTATCAAATCAGGATTTAAGCAGGAGCAGCTTACAAATGGTTAGGAAGGGACTGCTGGTTAACATGTAGTCTTAATGGGCTGTGTTTCAGTCACTATTTCAAACTCGTTACGTTGTCTGACAACAGAAACAGAAGAACTTGTAAACAAGAACAGCTTTGTTGGGAATTCAGCTGTGTTAAAATACTGTATATGTGAGCACGGAGAGGAGGAGAGAAGATACAGATAGAGGGCTGAAACTGGCTGACACCAGGCACAATGGAAATATGACCTAATGAAATTTGTTTTTCGCACAATAGTTTTCAACTACATCCTCAATTTCGCACACTGACCATACGTGGTCCAGGTGTACACTCGGTTCTGACCTTCTCCTTTGTTTGTCAAAGTAGCTTAATCCTCACCTCCAATGTGGTTCCACTGACAGGACTCCAGTTAGCTTTCGCTGGAGTCATTAGGATAGAGGTTTACAAATTTTTTCTAAGCTACACTGTGAATATTTTGATGATATGAATGATTTAGTATGGACAAGAACAATACAATGATCCAAATGGCTCACTTACTTTGCCCCGACATTGTATCTAAGACGAAAAGATTTCACTAAATCAAAAAAATACACTTCACATACACAGAAAATAACAGTAAAAATAGACTACATCTAATGTAACCGGATAACACATTTAAGGTCATTCACTCAAAAAGCAAGTAGCCAAAATATGTAACTACTTAGACATTGTATTTTTATTTTGTTTGCTCCTTAGCTGCTTTTACTGCTAGCCTTTAGGTCAAATGTAATATCCACTGTATGCTACTTTGATTTACGGTTAACTATCTTAGGACGTTGGGTGAAAAGAAGTATAAAGTCTGAATTTATTTGAAAGAGGGGCATTACATGGCGTTTATCATTATTTATTTAAAAAATATGTCATTAATAAATTACATTGTTCTGTTTTTTGGGGAAAAACTCCAGCTGTGTTAAAGTTAGCAGGCTAACAGTTTCACTCGTAGTTTTATCGTCCTGTCAGTGTTCAGTGTCTTGAGTTAAGTGCTAGTCTTCCAGCTCTAACTAATGTTAATCAGTCAGGTTTGTGTTGAACATAGACTCTCACCTCTGGTTCACACAGTTTGGCGTTGTAAGAAGACAGAGACACACAGACTCGGTCTCTCGCCTCCGAAAACACAGAGTCGTCAAACGTGCTTCCTAATATCTCCATCCGGACCCGAAGAGTAGCATTAATTCCCAAATTTCAATATGAAACAAACAAACAAACAAAACGACAGGTAACTGCAGCTCGTGTACCGTTTGTTTACACCCTCGTGATTACACAGTCGTTTAACTGCACGACAAATACAACATCCCGTGACTATAGTTCCGGGCAGAAAGGTTCCGGTGGATGCTGAAAATATGCAGCACACTGAGAATGTACAAATACCTCAACCTTTATTTAACTCGATATTGACATAACAAAAACATGCACCGAGAAAGGCAAATTTGTCTTCACAGTGCCCAAGTCAACCCACACATGAATATAAGCCGAGCTTAATATAGGTAATGTATTTTCTATACATTCAGAGGAAATAAAACACACAGAAAATGCAATTCAAACAAAAATAAATAATGAAGGCTGTAAATCAGAGTGTTTTATATCAGCTAAGGTATACAAAATACATAAATGTATTTAATATGAAGAGCAATTTTCCATTTCTGTAAATTTGAGATACATCACAAACATTTCTGAATTAGTATGTTTTTTCATATCAGAATTAATCAACAACATGTGGATAGCCGGTTCAAATGCCAATGATCCATTTTCATGAGTAGAATAAAAAACTTTTCTTAATAACCTAACATCAGTGATTACATTTCAAAATAGTGGGAGCAAAAGTCTTAACAAACTTGCAGTTATTAAAACAGCAAACAGTTTTTTATTTATTTATTTATTTATATCAGTTTATGCTTCAGGTGAGAGAAGAACAGCTCTTTGCTTTATCCCATCTCTTTTATCTGGACAGCTGCTGCCTGGACCCAACACCCAAGACACATATTAGAGGAGAATTCATCACAACACAACAATGCTGCCATTGCCACATGTCCAAATTAAAGGACCAGCAAAACAAAACCTTCAATTCTCTTTCTTTGTACAGATGAAATTAAATTTCTCAGTGTCAGGCTTGCTGGACCAGAAATGTTCCCCTTTTACGTCCATGGCAACACTCATGCCGCACTCATTGACTTTTTCGCCTTTGAAGCAATTGTAGTTTAAGTCATGATCTTCAATCCAGAACCAGAAGTCCAGGGTGCAGGTATAGCGTAGGCCCAGCCACACATGGGGACTGTTGGCCTTTTTGGCCTCCAGCTCAGCCCAGACCTGGTCCTTTTCATCAAGGATGGAAGCCAGGTCCATGTCATTGTCCCTGCAGTAGTGCAGGGCCTCTTCCCACGTCTTACTCTGGTTGATCAGTACAAAAGGTGATTCTAGAAAATAGAAAAAAATAGACTATTTGTCCACATTATACTGGAAAGGAGAAATTTCAGTATTTATGTAAGGCTATTAATATGTCATTTACAGTTACTGTATGTGTGCACTGCATTAAATAAGCACATAGTTTTGTGGATGAGAATATGTGTTGCACCTTTTAAGCTGCCCCAGATCTTCACGTCACACAGAACTGTAAAATGTGATCCTGGTGTTAACACAGTCACATAGCGTCCCACCGCTTCTCCATTAAAATTAAAGCAATTGTAACTGCCCATTGTGAATTTCGTGATCTTTACATGCCTTGAGGAGAGAAAAAGATGAACACACAGTTAGAGACAGAGAAACAGAAAGGGCTTGAAGAGTGATGTTTTGTGGTTCTGAGATGAAATCTCTGACTGTTTTCTTTGGAGCTGTGGAAGCTGAAAAAGATGCTGTGATATTTAACTTAAATTGTAACTCGGTAAAATCAAGCCACAGAGGTACAAGTTAGAAATGTGTATTATGGCAAGAAAAGAATGAACATGCCAACGCCTGAAAACGCAGCATGAAGGCATTACGTGTTGGTGTCAGTGCTCATGAGAGGAGGGATCTCACGAGAGTTCCCAATGAAGATCTGAGAACCCTTTATATTAGCATTGCCATGATTCTTGTTGTAGATAGCGATACAGGAAATATTGTAGACACCCAGCAGGTCAATTCTCCACCAGGAGTTGACCATCTCAGAGGTGTGAGCACAAGTCGTCATATTCCCATCAATAGCTCTGTCAGAGTACAATGTGATTTTTCCATCACTGTAGCTTGATGACTGAGTTGTGTTCCCTTTCAGTGTGCTGTTTGCTGTGTTGTTGCAGATAGCTGTAGATGAAAACAGAAAACAAGTCAATTCAAAATTTTGACCTCATATATTTATATAGAAATATAACTTTACTTTTTTGAAATGACTTGAAAAAAATTACATTAATTCCTGTAAAGAGATGCATTAATTCCTACCTGTGCCATTGTCATTTAAGTATGTGCCTCCTGTGAAATCTGAAACAGCAGAAGATTATATTAGAATTGCTGTTTTTTTTTCATGTAATGTCACGTAAAGTTACTGGTAGCTATATTATTGCTTGTTAGTTATTTGCCATTGCTTACACACTAAAACCAATCAGTCTTAGCCTTATCACTACTGATAGACCTCAGGTGAGCTTCTGTGAGAAGAACTTCACAAACATGGAAGCAGTGAGGACGAGAGGAAGAGGACAACAGAGAGGAGGTGGAGGATGAGGGCATGAACAAAGAAGACCTGGCAATAGACACGTATTTCAGATGAGATAAGGGCCCCTTTGGTGGAGCAAAGCCCAGCCTGCCTCAGTCGCTACATGGCAGCAGCCATAATATGGGCATTGAGATTGGAGAACGGGTCTTCAACTTTCAACTACAGGAAAGGTACAGGTTCCATGTGATAGGAACAGTGTTAGAGTCATAGACCTTGACTATGAATATGAGTGAGTAAGTGGCAGTAGATTGTGCAGTGTTGCCAATGCATACATTCAGACAAAGCTGTATGTGACCTATTGGCACTAGTGGTCCCATACTTGTGTATAAAATTGTAATTTTTATTGTTTTTTTTTTTTTTTACACCAGAGTTACTTTACACCATATTCACAGTACAGTGTAAACATTTTCTGTTACAAAATATTCAGAAACAGTTACAGTAATTGTAGGTTTTTATAAAACAGTACAATTTACAGGCTGCAGCTGCATCAAACTCCAGGACTTTTGTGTTATGTGAAGCCTGTATGACAAAATTAAAAACATTTACAAAGTTGCAATGACTGCAGTGTTTTGTGTTAAGTTCATCAGCGTGTTGTTGCTACTTTGGAAGAGTAATTCAGATGGTGCATGTGTGTATGGTTTTGTTCCAGAAATGTCATTTAAAAAGATGTTTAGCTCCAAGCGTTCTGTCACATTTGGCTTGTGAGGCGTTTTGACACAACGAGTCAAATTGTGCAATAACTGTGTAAGAAATCACAAGATCACAAAGCACTCATCCTTCAGTACTTAGTCAATACCTAAGTCAAATCCTCTTTGTAAATGATGACATTATTTGTGCTGTACTGGGGAGTCTGAAGCAAGTTACAGCAAAACACAATGAAATAGTTTGTTTTGACCATTTACAGTAAGATAACTAACATGCATGAGCATTAAGTGAGCTACTTACCAATCAGAGAGAGGAGCAACAGAGTCCACAGCATCTTTACTGTGGAGGAGAATAGCGACATCAGATGACTACGGACAAGTTGAATGTTCTAAACAAATGGACATAGACAAATAAACTGAGGTCAGTAATAGTTTTCAATGTCTTGAAAATGAAAATGCACATATGTTGCTACTTACATCTAAGAGACAGAAAACACTTTGTGAGGACTCTATAACATTAAAGGTGTGAAACAAATTGATCATTTCAGTTGTACTAACCTCACTCGTCTTGTCAGCTTGTTTTTCTCTCCACACCAACTGTAATATGATGCCCTCTCCAAGCCACAGCTGGATTTATACTTACTTCCCTTCTCTCATCAGTGCCAATGTCATATTTCCTGTTTGCCACAGAGTCAAGGTATTATGTCATTAGTCAAACCACATGAAGGCTAATATTTGCATCTGTAAACATACATTGCTGTCCCTACAAAGTAAGTCTGTATCTGTCAGGAATGGTGCTGCGAAGACTCAGAGGAAACAAATGGTGACTGACTACAGGGTTTGAAGGGGATACTACTTTCAACTCGGTATTTGTGTGTAGTCTTGATTGAGTCATATCACATTTGTGTTCAAAGGAAAAGATGCAAAATACTGCGCACAAGTACACATCTTTTGATCAAAATTTATTGGGGTTTGTCCTCAAACAAGTATAAAATATAAATCTTTTCTAAATCAAGCTAAAAATCAAGCCAGAGCGTCAACAACAGCCGGGATTTTAAATTAACATTGCACAAATTGTTTGCCTCACAGCTGGCAGCTTCAAGTTGATGATTGCAGGGGCCACATAGAATTTGTTTAGCTCTCTAAAGCAAGCCTGCAGAGGCGATAGCACATACATACTGTGTTTCATCAAACTTTATGACAGATACTCTCTTCTTTTTTTTTTTTTTTTTTACACATTTCCGATGTACAGGCAGAGCGTAGAAATAGATGGAAATGTCAGTTCCCTAGACACAGCATAAGACGAAGTTGAACTGTTTAGTTGAGTTTGGTCATGAACGTTGTAGACAGAAAAATCCTCTTTGCCTGCATTGCCTGCAAAGAGTTTAACCTCAAGTAAGTCAGTTTCATTCCCAGAATCCCCTAGAGTCATCAATCGGGTGTACTGGGTAAGGTGATCACAGCTTATTTTTAAGAACTGGGTCTGTCAGTTAAAGTCAGGGGTGACATCATTTTAAAATGGCACAGTAAATATCTGTTGTGTTTGGATTAACACATCATTTATGAAGGTAGTGTAATACAGTTAGATCATTGTATTCGTCCTACTGTATCTGTGTCTATGGAACCAACTGTTACTCAACACAGGAGTCTGTCATCACTCAGTAAACAGATCTGGAAATATGAGTTATACTGAAGCAGGAACAAAGAGAAAACTGTGCAGTTTGCGGTTAAAAGCAAAGCATGTCCATCATAAGCAATGACTTGGGGTAAAAACTGTCAGCAGATAAAAATTAGATCAGAATAACCAGAACGTGAAAATTCCACTGTAAATGAATTTAAAAAAATCTCCATTTATACGTACAGTATATTACATTTCTGACAAAATGTTTGTTTTGTTTTTTTTACCAAAAAGCTGGCTGCTATATAGTGAAAACATTTGAATCTCTGATAGCTGTAAGAAACATTCAACCAACTACTTGTCTAAATACAGAAAACGAGTGAGGACTATAGCGGAAGTATAGCGAAGGATACACTTATGACATATGAGCATAATAGGACAGCAGGTAAACTACTCTGATCACAATGTTAGCTTGTAGCTCTACTGCACAAGGTTAACTGGGATACATGATGAGTGATGGATATTAAACCACAACTCAGAGAAGAGACACAGCACCTCAGAAGACCTGGGGAAAATATTTGATTTACTGAACACAGGTTACACTGTAGTGAAGCCAAGTTGGCTCTGTTTCTACCAATACTCTTATCATTCACCTGATATGGAGATAATATTAACTGTCAAAAGGCTGAGATATCCTACCTTTATATCTAGTATGCTATGCACCAAGCTCCAAAAACACCAGATGCTACATTTCCCACAATACAACAGATTTGTCTTTCAGTAGACTCTCCCTTCCTTCTAAACCCCGACTTTTATTACTAATTTACAATGGAGAAGAATCAAGACAAATCTGAGATGACCCTAATGACATCACTATGACATCATCAGGATTTTTTTTTTTTTTTTTTTTTTTTTTTTAACTATGGAAAGCTCCCCCCAGAGCCACGGAAGACATCATACAAAGGCTGAGTAGTACTCCTCATGACAAGTAAACTGAACTTCATGTGCAAAGTCAATGGAGTGCCTCTCTAAGCAACTTAAAGTGTTAACATTTATATTAAGTTTTCTATTATATTGAATGTATCTTTATGAAACAGCTGATGTGTAGAGCCTTATATTTTTTACAAATTATTAGCAAGCAAAATAATTTCCCAGGTGCTTCCAGAATTGTAGTCTTTGCAGTTCCTTTAAATAAGTGCATGTCTTTTCTATTGAGTTCTGATTCTTTATTTTTTGCAACCAAAGTAACAAAAAGCCACTCAGGCAACACTGGCTGAACTCTAAAGCAGATTCTATTTCAAAAACACTACTCTGTTGTACGTATTGTATGAGTTGGTATTGTTAACAAGCAATCCACTGATGTCTGGACAGAGTTGTAATGACACAGTTTTCATAGATAGAAACATATAAAACCATTCAAAATGGACTGGCTATAGTAAAGAAAGAGCACACTGTAAAAGACCGGGGGTTGGATACCTGGACACAGGATTAAGCCTAATTTGTGAACTAAAACAAGCAAATTGTGGTCATCCATTTTTTAGCATGTATACAAATTTGCATGTGAAGTACCAGAATTCAAATAGTTACAAATGAGCACAAAATGGCTGCCAAAAAATTACCACAATTGTGGTCCAAGCAAATGACTACCTTAACTTGTTGCTCAAAATGGAGCTGGGTACTCAAAGCAACCTTGGCCAAGCTAACATGGACAAGACTTTAATGAATGGTTCTAGAGTCAATGATGATGATGAGAAATTTGAATCATTTTTAAGAAGGAAAACAGGTCCATGGTTGAAGTCAACTTGGTAATTATAAAGTAACTGGTATTATTACAGATAAAAAATAAATGTAATCCCAGATTAGGCTTCTACTGTGCCAAGTATAACGACCCAAAACACTCTATGTACAAAATGAGCAGTTGTTCGTCTTGGTTATTGCATGCAGTATTAGACAAAAGGTACCTTGACATTTTGAATTTGTTATTTTTCATGGCCAGGCAACTGTCACATTATGACACACTGGTTTCAACTCTCCTTTAGTTGCCATAAACTAGCTAGTTTAGCTAGTTTAGAGCTAACAGGCCACACTGGTTTCAAAGACACTCATTAAAATGCATTTTGTGTCGCTGAAGGTGCCAACATGTAGTGTGACAAGTGCTTGGTAACAAAATACAATAAAATTCGGAACACCAAGGTATTCGTTTAAGGACTTACAACAGAAGTTTGCAATGTCAACTTCAGATTATCTAGGCATCTTTTAGCGTCAGCAGAAAGCAGAGCTTGGTCATGCATCACACCTTAGTTTGAACAAGCCTCCTGTAACAATCAGCCAACAATTTCTGATTTCCAAAGCACTCACAAACTCTCTCATCTTTTGTCGAGAGTTGCTGAAATTATGTTCAAACAAGTATACGAGCCATGTAGGCACATAGGTTTATCTGCAAAGCTTCATCAGAGTCTCTCCCCTGTCAGTGAAGAACTGTATTTGAGACAGTTTCCAGTCTATTGTCCTGTCGTCTTAATGCAGTAAAGCATGAAGAAAAAACAGTGAGAAAGAGGAGCGTTATTTGGTAGACATCCCACCACAGAGGGAATGCTGTGCTGTTTCTTCAGGCGTCACAATTCCCTCCACGAGAGAAAAAGTGAATTTTCCAAGAATGTCTTTTTTTTTTTTAATTTTCTGAATGGTTTCAGTCTTACGAAGATGTCTCTATAGCCCTGTCAGTCTGTCTGCTTGTGTTGTAGACAATTTAATGAGACGGAGAACCAACAGGACACTGCTAACATTTGCAGAAACATGTGTTAGGAAGTGCACATCTTGAAATCTAGGCATTTATTTTACAAAAGTGGACTGGACAAGAGGGCTAAATAGTCAGGGACAGGGGCATGTGGGAGCAGAGAAGGAGATGGGAGACACTTCTCATGATTTAAAGCAACAGTACAAAACATAACAACAAATATAACACATGCGCATTTTTAAAAGGAGAAATGATTAAAAACTGGGCTCAAATTGTGCAATTTAGCGAACAAAAGCGGCAGGTGATTGTTCTACTAGTTTTCTGAGCCGTATAAACATCCAAATATGAAACAACACATATTATTAGAAAAGTGGATAAATTGGTAATATTCCTCCCCTTGAAAACACACTTAGGATAAAAAAAGGCAAAATACTGGTTCAGTTCTTAGTCATACAAAACAGATTTGGTCTCTCAGAGCCATTTCATGGTATAATAAGAGATTAAGGTGCCTAATCATGATTTAGTCCACTGTGAACACAAGTGGACAAAGTGCATTTTTTTTAAAGTTTAGTTTAGGTGCTTCACATTTTTCTCTTCAGTGCAGACTGGAGTCAAATTATTATTTGAAATACTGTTAAACAGTGTTTCTTAAAGTACAGGTCAGGACCCAAAATGATTCATAGGCCTCGTTTTTGTCATGAGCCCCAACCTAAAAGGCAAGGTGTCAGTGATTTGGTGGCGATAGCAGTCTTGTCAAGTTGATAACTTGTGGACTGATTTACTTTAAATTCACACTGGAGCTGCAGCTGGTGCTTACATTTACATGATTTGGGGAAAACTGCAACCCATTGTAAAAATTCAGTCCATCCATTCAATCCATCATAAGCCCATCACGAGCCATCTCTAAGTGAAACACTGCAGCGAAATATTTCTGTTTCTGTTTTTACTTCAGTGGACCCAGACGTCTTCCTCACAGTGGCCATTATTTATTTCACAAACTGTGCCACTGCTTCAAACTGTAGCTCACTGCTCACAAGACAAAACATTCAACTTTGGCACAAAAGCCTCACACTGTCTGAATCTACACAAACCCCTTTAAAAAGTTTTTAATAGCACAGGATGAGTTCTATCAAAAAGGTGAAAAATTTGTTTAAAAACATTAATAGCAGTTAATATTAAACACATACTGTGGAATTTTTCCATCAGATCTATAGGTGCTCAGTTAAAAATCTAGAATACTAATAATATTAATGAACAATGAGCCACTACAGAGGGAAGACTTGAGTAGACATCCTGCGTTCTTTAAAAGCATCATGGCATTGGCATTCATTCAGCTTTAAGGTACTTTTCCCCTATCATGTTAGGTCTTTATCCCACAGAGATAAAATACCTGATTTCAATGTCAGCTCAAACATCCTGGTCTATGGCGATGGTGATCTTCACAGGTGATACAGTAACATGAAAAATCAACCAGTTCCACTTTTGGATGTATGCCAGTTTCATTGGGACATTGCTCAGCAGTGACATCTAGCGGGGATAAGTTTTTTAGCACCTTTGACACAACAGATATGTCTTTCTTTCTGTATGTGCAGTTAGTTTGGGACCAGGGGTGAAACATTCATAACACTGGAGACCGAAGTTTGAATTTGGGCCTGTGCTCACAACAGCATAACAAACTCCTGCTCAAGGAAATGCAGCATAAATGTGTAAATAAATCTCCCTTAATGGCTTGATTTAAGAAAGCAAGGAGTGCAAATTTAACAAGGAGCATGGTGGACATTTAAAACTGTCAGTTCCTCCTAAAATCTCTCACGTACAATAGTCGGTATTCATCAATTGCTTCTAAAGAACGATGTAGTGGATGGATATACCATCTTCTTAGGCAACTATTTCATCTCAACAGTTTTCATCTTCAGCTCAGCTTGAAGATTTCACTTAATAGTATTTTTCTTTTTTTGACATAATATTGTGTAACTGTTGTTTTCTGAGCTTTATCAAAGTTTGCCACTGAAGATTTGTAGGGTTTGCTACAAACTCCCACTTTACCATGATAATTGTCTGTGACACATTACGTACAGCTAATAAGATAAGTATTGAGAGAATGAGTTAAAGTTAACAGTTCATCTGTTAGTCTCATGTAGACATGATTCAGAAATAGTTTGAAAAAACAGTTAATTAATGTTGTAAATGTGTACACAAGCAACCAGTGGCAGAAAGACTTGGTTCAGCTAACTCTCCTCCAGCATTGATCATCCTAGGATTTCTCTTGTAACATTCTGTAATGTTTCACCAGGCTTTCCACAATCGTTAGTCTTCAGAAACTGACAAGGATTTCCTGACACTACGTGATGGTTCCCAAACCTCACTGTCGTCCGTATCATCGGCATCATCCTCCTCATCTTCTTCATCGTCGTCTTCATCTCCCCCCCCAGTGCCAGTCTGGTCCTCTGTGGCTGTCGACGCCTCTCCCTGCGTCTCCTCTCCCTCCTCCCCTCCTCCTTCGTCTCCGACCGCCCTCCCTGCAGCTGCCTCCTGGAAGGGATCCAACCCCATGTCTGAGCGTCGCTGGACTTCGGCAAACCACTCCCTCACCTTTTCAAGGACAGAGAAACATGTTAACTGTGTGAGAACGGCAGAGTTGTCGCTCTTATTGAGGACACCATCCGTGATATAATCCGTGATATTTCTGGGACTTTGGCAGTTTTAATGACATGAAGACAAGTTTACATTCTACTATTACACAGGACCAATTCAGATAATAAACATATTCAAATTTAATTAAATAAATCAAAATATTTAATATAAACATTTCATGATGGTGGGTCGTTGGGAGTACTGCTAGGGGGATTTGCACTCATGACCATGAGTGCTCATGGCTAATCAATTCAAGAAGTTAAAAATGTTTTCAAAGAGTGTTGCTACAAACACTTAAACTTTTACACTTGTTTCCCAAAGCAGAACTAAGTGCAACTGCATGTGCATTAAGAGCTTCTCCTGTTGACTTACAGTACCATGATGATGGAAATGATGATGGTAAGCTGCACTATATAATTAATTATAATTAATTATAATTAATTCAGTCTTCAGCTTGTTGCCCTTGTTGACTTTATGATTCATGTTACTGGGTAGAAGTCAGTTTAAAAGAGTAAACACTTGATTTAGCTGCTGCATTGTGTGTTTGCTGTGTGTAATTTAAACATCATCACTCATTTGGCATCTAAGTATCACTTGATAGAGAAGTCATGACAAAAGACTTAAATTACAGTGCTTTTTGGAAACACCTCTTAAGCTTAACAGTGTCCATAAGATGGATTTTTAAGCTACCTGAGCATTAAGAAACGTTTGAGAGACGGGTGCCTTGGTTGACGGGTCAGTAGTTATAAAAGAATAACATGAAACATATTTTCATTACCTGTTCATAGCTCATGTTGGTCTTGGTGACAAGCTCATCGAGGTCTTGCTCATTGAGGAAGTGGTGCTTCAGGTAGTATTCCTTCAGGATCTCCCTCCCAGTCTTGAATTTCTTTGCCGGTGGAGATCTGTCGATATCTGCACTGGAGGATGCAGACCGTCTTGGCTGCTTCCTGGTTCGGGACCGACCCCAACCACGATTTCGACCACGTCTTTTTCGACCGCTGCCGCTTCCCATTTTATTGCCTCCTCCGACGTTCGCCCCCTCGACGTTGCCACTTTGGTACTGAAAGAACCATTTCAGGTTTCCATTCTTCCAGGAGTATCTAGAGTCCCCGAACCAGCTGACAATGTAGGACCGAGGAAGGCCGCTCTCTTCTGCCAGCTGGTCGTACTCCTCTGGTGTGGGCCACTGGGTCCGCACAAACGCAACTTTCAGAATGTGGAGCTGCTCTGGAGACTTTTTAGTTTTATCTTTTAAGTCTTTCTTGTTGCTGCTGGTGGTAGTGGGCAGCTGCTTACTGCGACCTCCAGGAGGAGTTTGACTACCTTTACGAGATGAAGAGGCAGAAGGAGAAGAAGAGGTTGCTCCTCCCATTCCTCCTCTTTCTCCTGCTTTTCCTCCATCTGCCTCCATCTTCCCTCCCTCTGAAGAATCCGGGGAGGAGGTACTGACAGATGGCATTTTTCGTCTCTCAGTGAACCAGGCGTCAATCTCCCTCCTCGTCAGCTTAGTCTCTGTCCTCAGGCGGCTCAGCTCTTCATCTGATGGGGTGCTGCTCTTCTCAAAACTCTCCTCCAGCACCACCAGCTGCTCCGGTGTCTTCTCCTTAAACTTCTGAAGGGTAAAGTCTGGAAATGGGTTCCATGTTTTGGGCCGTGTCTCCTTCTCCTTCACAGGAGGTGTGCAGGGAGGATGGGGAGATGTGGGGTTCTCATCACTTGAGTCAATGACAATAGTAGTGCTAGCACTGCTACTACAGCTGCCACCTCCTCTGCCCCCTCCATCATGGAAAACAATGACATGGCTGTTCTTGGAGTTGCGCTGGTTGTACCGGGTGTCACTGAACCATTTCTTTATCTCTCCCTTTGTCAGGTTGGTGAGCTTCATCAGTCGGGCGATTTCAGCATCAGTGACAAAGTGATTTTTCAGGTAGCTGGCTTTCAGCTCTGCCAGCTGCTCTTTGGACTTCTTAGGCCGCATACTGAATGTGTCAGCGCTGAGGGCCGAGTTCTCCTTAGAGAGAGAGGGAGAAAGTTATATATTAAAGAAGTTTTACTTGCTCATTGACAGCAATGAGAGCACAAGACCAAACAAGTATTTGACTGAAAGCCAGCTTGAAGTGTTGTCTCCACCTGTGGAGAAAGAGAGGGAGGCTGGACAGTGGTAGCCCGTTTCAGCTCACTGTTTGTTGGGGTGGGCTGGCAGGAAACCCTGCTGGAGCTCTGGGACTGGCTGGGCAGCCCTGCCACTGTCAGTGTGATGGGACTGGTCACTGGAAGGTTTCCCCCTGGACCGACCTACACAGAGTCAGAAAATGACACACAGAATGTGAGGATGAGACATATAATCAGACTGAGATGTATTTGTTGTTTGAGTGATTATTGTGTATTATTAGTGTATTATTTTTAAAACTTTACTGGGGCCCTTAAACTGCACGCTAAGTGAAAAAGAGGTAGGTCTCCACACACCAAATGGTGTACAAAAATTCACATATTCACTCTGCAATATATCTTCAGTGTAATGTGTGCTGGCGTGACAACCATTGGTCTGCGTGTGTGTAAGATGTTATTTTCACAAACTCCATAGTTGTTGTTTCCCAGAAAATCCTCATAGTTATGGCATGCTCTGTGAGATTGCAGTAAATACCATTATTTGATCAGTGTTATTAAAAATACACTAAAATAAAATTTAATGGAAGAATCTCTTCAACACATACCAATATCAGCATATAGGAAATTACCTGATAATTACCTGAAATAACCTGGATTACAGAGTAACCTACAGTATACCACTTCTATTACCCTGCCCTGTTACTGTACAATCATTAAGAGTAAATTAGATAGACACCACAAAATGCTAGACCTATCTGCTAACAGTTGGCATTTTGAGACAAAAAAAAACAAAACATAAAATCATTAGTAGTTTTGAAACTGCTGTAAAAGATCAATGGGCAAATATACATGCCATGTTAATATTGTGTTCATGTTCATGTTCAATCAAACTTGTTAAATGCATTCAAAGTCAATCTGTTTCAAGTCAAATCAAGCTGACTGAATACAAGTCACTTAAAACGCAACAAAAGCATGTCAAAGTCTCACTACTTTTACGGTGACTGGGTTCAATGCGAGGCAAAGCATCAAAGCTGAGTCTTGTTAGACATGGCATGTTTTCTTTCCTTACCTACCTGTGTGAACACCAGGCCAGGCTGGCCCACTATCTGGCAGGTCTGAAGAATGGACTGCAGACCGTTGGCAGCAGCTGAGAGCTGGTGAGCGGGTATGACAGTGATGGTCTGCGGCACTGTGTGCACCGTGCCGTTAAACTGTTTCCTCCTGGCCTCCTCCACTTCCTCAGGGGTCCAGCTGACACCGTGCTTCAGACGCTGAGCTGAGAACCACACCTGGATGGAGATCGAGGACATTTGATCACCATTAACAAAATACTGTATTCATATTATATTAAATTAAGTATATTTCAAACTTAAATTCCAAATTCATAATTAAGTTTTTTTTTTTTTTATTTAGCAATGTATACAGAGTAAGGAGCTTCCATTTGTAGCTTTTTGAGATATCTTATAGCAAAGAGACAGACAGGGGGGGATATAGTTTGTCAGGAGAGGTTATTTGACTGACACTTTCATCTACCTTTATCTGCTCCTCTGTGAACTGTGTCTGTGCTGCCAGGCTGCTGATCTCGGCCATGGAGGGGTAAGGAAACTTCTTGTATGTGCTGCCCAGCAGAGGGTTGGTGTCCATAGCTGCACTATAGGAGGGGATGCTGCTGAGGGGAATCAGAAGCTGAGGCTGAGCTGCTGCCGCACTCTGCTGGGCCTGGAAAGCTGACAGCACCTGGAATAAATGAAGAGAAGGAGGGAGATGAGAAATATTGAGATGGCTAATGCTACACAGCGGCAAAGGTGCGACACTGCTGAAGTTAAGTTCTAACTTCCCTGTTGAGAATATTTAGCATTATGACCACCCATTATCCAAAGCCTACCAGCAGCTTTGAGGAGTGCAGACTGCTGTTGAGTCTGAAAACATGTATGAATTTTTCACAGATAGGTGTAAATGGAGTGTTCTTACACCCATGCTGCTGAAATATGTTTACTAAACCCTTGTATAATCAAAGTCCTCTACCTGTGCAAGGCCAGCAGGCAAGACTGTGGGGTTTAAAATGGATGATTTCCTTGGCTGCTCTGAGGGCGGGCTGATAAGCAAGCCGCCACCTCCAAGCTTCATGGAGTCATGCAGCAGCATCTCAACAGGAGTCATTGGGCCCAGAGGGGCTTCGATGGGCTCCTGCTCTCCTCCCACCTCTCCCTCGCCACCTCCTCCAAAACCGTCCACTGCCTCGTCTGGTGATTTCAGGGACACAGCGATCCTCTTGGGTTCAGATTTGGTCTTCATCCTCATGATGGGTGTCTTGCTGAGAGAGATGGCAGCAACTGACGCAGGGTCTGCTCCTCCCTCCTCGGGCACATCACACTGTTGTTCCTGGGTTGGCTGGTCAATGCTTGGATCGTCAGGAGGGTTTGTAGCGTTGCGCCTCAGTGAGGGATCAAGCACTTCACTGTCTTCTACAGTAGAGACACTGGGCTCATCTATAATAATAATAAAACAACATTCATTGTGACAAATATTTCCCATGTCATTCCTGTTCATTCTGATGTACAGAGCCTTTGTGTACAAGCTGGTGTATATTTGGGCTTATGAAGTGCTGTTGTTATCTACACATGGGAGAGCAGTCAGAAAGAATCTTACAGTACCTGTATCTGGTGGTGTGGGGACAACCACTACAGCCTGACCTAGCTCCTCTGCAGTTGGCCCCTCTTCTGCTCCCTCCTTCACTTTCCCCTCCTCCTCTTCTGCCTCTTCCTCCTTTGTCCTTTCCGTTTTCTCCTCAACCTCCTCCTGCTCCACCACATCAGAGGGCAGCACCATGCAAGGTGTGGTCGATTTCCGGCGGCTCGACATCGTCAAACCAAACTCTGTTTACTTCTACTCAGGGTAAAGAAGATCTGTGGCAAAAGTGTTGAGGCTCACATGTCTCAGGAGGTTGTGTTCACATGCCAGAGTCATTGAATTATTTATTTCTGGGGGGGGGGGGGGGGGGGTGGGGGGGGGGGTGGGGGGGGGGGGGGGGCGGGGGGGGGGGGGGGGGGGGTGGGGGGGGGAGGGGGGGGGGGGGACAAAACAGATGAATTTGTCATATACATAATTTGTCACAAAAACTAAAAATGAAAAGTGAAATGTATATATAATACAATATACTGATACTTCTTAGATAGCCATTGATAATTTGCCTTAAATATCTCAGTCATATAAGTCAAATAAAACAACTGCACCCTGTCAGTAGAAAATAAATCATTAAAGACAAAGGAATCAATTTTATTTTATCACAAGTGAAAGCTGCTGTAAGTTGCAGTCCCACATATATTTCAACAAAGTGTTCACCAAATAAGTATCACCAAAATCTGCGATAAGAACAGGTTCACATTATGGTGTATTATGAGCACATTATGAATCATAATACAGCAACTATATTGCCCATTAACCTGTATACTCACATTAATTAATGGGCAATATAGTTGAGATTAAAAACAAGATTACACTAAGATTTTTTTTCCAATATCAGTATGGACAGCAAGATATGGTAAATGAATGCAAAATTATGTGTAATACATTCACATTAGTGGTCATGCAATACAATGAATTGGTCAGTTGACAGAAGATTATTCAACTACTTTAATAATTGATTAATCTTTTGTGTCATCTGTCAAGCAAATACGCCATATATTTGCTGGTTCCAGCTTCTTGGATTTATCGGAGGTAAGGACTTCCTGCTTTCTTTCTTTGCTCTTCTTTTGTTTTATATCATTGTTATGTTGTTTTGGACTGTTGGCAGACACAAGCTTTTAAAAGATCTCACCTTGGGTTTTGGGAATTTTATGAACATAACAAAATCACCAGTTAATCTTTAATCGAAATGCTTATTATTTGAATCCAACTCTGGAATTATCAGGCCCGGTAGATCAAACTGAATGAAAACTGGGCAAAGAAGGCAAGAGCCACAGTGTCCTCTGCTCTCTGGAAGGCACTATCACAGTGTTAAAAATGGACTGTGGTCATTTATTTGGAAATGGTCATTACTAAAGCACAATGTCAGCTAACATAATAATGACCTTGATATTCATGCCTTGTCTTGCTGAAGCATCCCCTGTCAAAATCTAGTTATACCTCTAGTTAGACCTTCATTATTTCACTTGATTCTGTGCCTACATAGATCTTTTTTAATCAAAAATTACCACATAAGCAAACCTGGGCTCCGCTACCACTCTACCAGGTTATTCCCACAATGTTGGTAGGGACCACACTGTTACAACACCAAAATAATCTAATTTATACCAGGATAATAATATAAATTATATCAGGATGATAATATAAATTACACTATGAATGTAATGTCACTTTACAAATGGCACACCTTGCCTGGTGGCAACTAATATTTTATTTTAGTTACTATATATGTCTTTGTGTTAATGGTTATCACTCAGTTTAATCAGATAGTTACTGCCTAATTTACAAATAGGTCGTTCATGATGACACACGTGCTACAACAAAGGTGCAAATGTTCACTTCTAAGACATCAGTGTGAAAGTCTGCGTGATAGATCATAGTGTTTGAAATAATAATAAAAATGCTATGCTGCATTGCCACAATGAGGTCATTTGCATTAACAGATAACAGCACAATAATTTGGAGGTGTGAGCTAGCTAATTCGTTATTATTTAAATGATGTTAAAGCAATAAATTGACACACATGGAGGTCTAACTTAGCCCAGCAGCGTCTAGCATGAATATAAGGTGGGCCAACTAGCCAGTGTTAGCCGGGCCAGTCATTATTATTGATCACGTCTGGCGGTAAACTTACTGGAACTACTGAAATGTGCACTGTGTTGCTACCAGACTGTCGAGACGAGGCGAGGAATAATTTCCTGGGTCTCGGCAGAGCAGCCTTCGGGTTTTGTTTGGTGGTGTCTGTCGTTGTCTCTCCTTCCCCCGGCTAACCATTCAGTCCAGTCTGGCCGGGGTTACAGTAGCGTTAACGTTATTCGGGCTTGCGGGTCTCCCGAACCCAGCGGAGGGAAGCAGACAGACGGACGAACCGGTCTAACGGCTACGGCTCCCGTCTGCAGATGCTGGAAACACCGGACATCTCTCTCCTCGTCGGAACAGGTTATTTTAGACTCAGGGCGCGTGTTTCTAAAAGTTATATCGTCAAACGCGCAGTAGTTACATTCATAACGTGACGGTTGGTGCTGTGTTAGTTTGCTGACCTAATTCTCGGATATTTTTTAACGGCAGATTTTTTTAATGATCAAACGGCGTCATCATTCAATGTGATACGTCCTGACGTCATTCCTCAGCGACTCTCGGTGCTCTAAAATTTTGGAAACTTTGTAATATTCCACCATTATAATGTATTCTTGATAAGGTGGGTTTAGCTCTGTGCTGTCCAGAAATGAATAAGATGTTTAAGCACTGTTTAAAGTGAGCTGTAAACGCATTTGTCTCCCGACCCGGCTGTGTGCCAAAATGTCCTTACATGACCTGTCAGGGCAGTAGAAGCTACTTGAGGACAACACCGACACTGCGTTACACCTGATCCTGTCTTGTGTTACTAATCAGGCTTTTCTGTTGATTATTTCAACCATCTCCACATTTTATTTAAATAGGAATCTTTTTTATGATAGGCTGATGTGCAAATGCCTTATTATTTAATACCTGTGCGAAAATGAAATGCCATTGTTGCGAAGCTGAATTTGTAGCAGTTAGTAATTTCACAGTAAAATCCATTTCATCCTGCAGCCACTGGTTAAAAATGACTACCACAGGAGAACACATGCCAGAAAACAAGCTATTACGATGGCGCAAGTTTAGGATTGTCATGTGCTAAATACAGAAAGTGAAGGTCGGTCAGAAGAAGTGTGTAGCGACAAGAAATCTGGGGGATTTAAAACACAAAAATAAACAATGATGCAGCTGACATCGAGATATATTGACTTTTAGTGTCTGAAAAGGGTCAGAATTAAAAACACTGGATCCTACAATTTTCATTACCAGAGTTGCACTTAGTATGTCTCCGTCAAGGCCAAATAATCCTACAAATGCGGATTCACGATTTTCTTTTTCCAGATCCGGAATATTATTATCTGGATCAACAAAATGGTACAAACTCATAGACAACACCATAAATATATCAGATTTTTCATTAAGATCCCTACATTAGCATTAGCATACGTACTGAACTGATTTGCACCAAATTTGGTGTCGATCCGCTTAAAAAGGCGTATTCAGGAATGTTTGTTAAAATCAATTTCTTAAACATTGCGAGATAAGGCATTTTTTCAGGAAATAATGTATGAAGCTTGATGTGTTTAGATCTAGAGCTTGGTTCAGATCCAAATTATAATCTGACCCCGATTAAAATCTGGATCCCACAAACGTGTAGGTTTGTCTTTTGTGGAGGTATATGCTCTTCTGAGTGTCACTCTAGCCCTGAGGGCCAGTTGACTGAGAAGGTAACTCTCTGTTTCTCTTGACTCCAAGCCACTTTCCATCATACAACTCTTTGCTATCTTTTGATATATCTAAATCTAAATTACATTTAACATGTAAAATTGGTGGAGTGACCCTTTAAGAAAATTATTTATGGCAGCTGTTATTTTTTGCGCAATGTTTTTTTAAGGTCAACCACATGTCCCGAAAAACAGGAATAGAAAGCCAACATGACACTCTCTAATACAAATGCCCCTAATATGCTGGACAAGTGAATCAGGGTTTGATGGAAATTATGGCAAAGGTCAAATTATCAGCTATGACATGATTCTTCACTAGCTGTAGCAGCATTAGTCTGAATGTTGAGCTCACAAAAAGGCACATAACATTTAGAGGAAATCAATTTTATTAAATATAAACAAAAGAGGTTACAAAGTTATAGCTAATGCACAAATAGAGGTGCCTGTAGATTTCTATGAAAATAGAACCAATGTTTGTATATTTACACAGCTGTGAAGATGATGAACACATTTATCAAAAATGGTCACATTATAGTTGTAGAAAGGTCAACAGAAGTCTTCGATCTCCTGTTCCAACTCCTGATCAAATAAAAAAGACCAGAGAAGCACAACTGATATGAAACATTACAGTAAAGCAAAAAATAACAATCTACTGTGTCAAAAACATGAAATTATACATTTAATACTGAATAACACTGGCAATATTCCACATTAAAAGGGGGCCTATTAAGCTTTTCTTTATTTTCTGTCATATGCATATATGTGTATAAATATATAAGTATGTATGTATGTATGTGTGTGTGTGTGTGTGTGTGTATATTACAATGTTGGATGTCCATATTAAACATAAAGCGAACACCAATGTTTCAAATAATGAGGTAAAAGTATGTAAAAGTAATCCCTGTGAGACAATAGCTTAGGTGAACGCAAGGCTTCCAATGGGGTTTTCTACTTTCAGCTCGTCAAGGATTTCTTTATAGAGTCATCCACTCTAAGCACAGCTCCTTCTGCCAAAACAGCCTACTCGAGTAGTATTATAGATAATTAATATTAACAGGCATATAAAGAAAAATGTTTATATATGGATTGTGATTGAAAGGCTAAATCCACTGTTATATCATACAATAAGCAGGTAAGGAGGCTGTAATATTTACCAAACAGAGATGTCCTGCTGTAATTTCTGTTGTTGCAGATGTTCGTGCTGTCTGCTCACATATTTCAGATCGAATTTGGGCTGGGTATGGATTTCCAATCAATTCTATTACTTAGTTTTAGTTTAGTTTAGAGGATGAGGTGGTGTTCACAAACACTGTGTGAGCCGCAACTTGGCAAAGTTCTGGATGTTTGGCGAATCAGAAGAAAGTGGGCTTTAAAGACACCTGAGCTAAATATGCCTGATTAAATCAAAGGCTTGACTGAGGGATCATGCAAAGCTGCTCTAGTGGAGTCCCAGAATAAAAATATAGAGCTGGAAATAAGCATAATTGGTCTCCTTTAAGGCTACATGTAATTATCATTATCCTACACTTCTCTTGGACAACATTGCTACAATAAAATGTGAAAACTGAATATCTTAGGTTTTCTTCAGTGGAGACTTTTTACCACATCATAACAGTCCCAGGACACTATTGTTGTTCACACACAGGTTCACTGAGAGCCATTGTTAAGATTATTACTTCACCCCTGTGCGTTTCCTCCTATGACAAGTCAGAATATCTACAGTGAAAAAAATGCTACATCTGCTCATCAGTACAGTCAAGTACAAACCTGTATTAGTGCTGTTTTGTTGAAGTCTCGTCTGTGTCTATAAATGCTCTGGCAGAGCAGTGCATAGAGTTTCTCCAGCTTGTAGACCTCGTAGCCCTCAGTCTTGGTCACCACTCTCTGCAGCAGCTCCTGACAAAACGAAGAAAGGACAGAAAGAGGAATGACATGCAGAAGACATTTTTAGCAAACTCAATATACAAGGAGCATAGTACAGAAACAGGATTGACAAAAAAAGGTCATCTGCTTTTTAGGGCTTCTATAACACAAGTCAAGATGCAGAAACCCAGATGGATGGGTAACTATAAGACTGTAGAATAAGCCAGCATGTATCCCACACCTTTAATTTGTCTCTGTCCACCACCAGAGGAGGAATTTCCTGGTCCAGTATCTGCAGAGCTTTGTCCACATCAATCATCTGCTGCTGCAACACAGCATTCTTTAGAGCCCGAGTCATTCGCCTCACACTCCGCTCTGAGACACAAAACACATGCACCCAAATATTAAGATCACTGTAATAGATGACAGACTGCTCACACATTGGCTCTGAGGCCCAAAGCATAAAGAAACACTTAGGCTGCACCTTTCTATCTCTAGAAACACTACACTAGTGATTTTCTTTCATGAGTAATTAAGTGGATTGAGGGTCAGCAATCCTCTTCATATATTCTTTGCCAAACTCTGACTGTGAGACAGTACTGATATCCAACCTGTGTTAGTATCCTCATCTCCTCTGACAGCTGCAGAGGCATCTGTGGTTGATGTTTCAGTCACTTCCACCTCCATTCGCTCAGCATGGTTCTTCAGCTCTGCCTCCTCTGCTGTGGCTACCTTGTTGTTCCTGTCAATTGCCAGTCTTCCAGTCTGACATTTCACAATTTCAGTTTCTGTCAGCTTTTGTCCGTGGGTATCTCCCCCTGTGTCAGTGTGGCTGTCTTTGTTAGTGTTCTCTGAAATGGTTTCACTGTTCTCATTTCCTCCCTCTGTCATCGCTATGTTTCCTTCCCACTGTCCTGGTTCATCTGTGACAGATTTATCCACCTTTTCTTTTTCATTCTGCATAAGGTCGTCATTTTCTGTTTTTTCGCTTTCACACAGGATAACCTTGTCTTCAGCAGCTTGACTCCCCTCCTCTATTCCCTTCTCCTCCTGTTCCCTCTCAGTGGGCCCTGAACCACCTTCCTGAGCTTCTGCAGGCCCTGATTCTACATCAACCTCCATCTGATCCTCCTCTCCACCAGTCCCCTCATCACGCTCTGCTCCTGTTTCCTTCTCAGCCTCCTCTTCGTCATCTCCATCTTCCTCATCCTCATCAGAGTCCAACTCTCTGGATACATGAGGAGAGGAGGAAGACTTCTTCTTTGCAAGTAAGCCAGTGGACCAGCGACTCTTCCGCCTTTTCTTCCTATGGGCTGGGGGAACAAAAGGAGATAAAGATTTATTTGTTATAGTTCTTTTATGTTAATTATTTGTTTGTTTTTTGTAATCTAAAGTAGTTTTTACCTGTGTTTTTGGGTGTTGTAACAGTAGAGGCACTTGTATTGGGGCAAACGGCAGCTGTGGCTACAGCCTGATGTCTTTGTGGGGTCATGTCAGTGATCTTGGCCTCGGCTGGAGGTTTGTGCTGTTTGGGAAGGACATGGTAAAAGGAGGGAGCAAACCTGGCAGTGGAGCAACCTGAGGTAGACAAAAAACAGAAAGCACACTGCTTTTTTCCCCACCTTTGCACTTCTGTGAAACTACTTTTGTCCACCTAAACTGAAAGGTCTGGTTTAAGTGGACGCAACTGTGCAGTCTTGATTCAAATCACAACCAAATTGTACTTTGAGGGAAAATAATGAAAGAAGTACAAATGTACATGATGAAATTAAATACGGTAGTATGAAAATAAAAGCATAAATGTTGTCTAAGGTACTTTGTAAGAGGTTTTCAACGTTAG